AAGTACTGTAAAGAGACAATTCTAGGCAACAATCACTTTAATTTCATACTACAGTCACATTCCCAAAGATATGCTAGCTAAAAAACTAAAGGTAGCCAGGTGCAGTGGTCCGTGCCTATAATCCCAGCTATTCAGGAGGCTGAGGCAGGAGGACTGCTTGAGCCAGTTCAAGGTTAGCCTGGGGAACATGGCAAGATACTGCCTCAAAAAAAAGGATAATGCTATTACATCTTAGTTCATATAGTAACAGGGTGAATGGACAAACCATTAAATTTAATCTGCTCTACACGAGAATCATCAGACTGTGACCATTCCTGGAGCCAAACTCAGTTTGCTAAATATCATGAAAACTGTGAACTCACCAATTCACAGGATTATCCTCAGGATCTAACTCGATCCTAAATGGATAAGTCATTCATTAAACAAACTCTTCCTGTGCTCCAATTACTGAGTTAAAAGGCTGTCTCAATCTGTAGGGAAACAGACAAGTAAACAGAAGACTGCAACACAGGGTAGTAAGAACGCTGATGAGGGTAATACAGCGGCATCACACAGGTCCCAGGCCAGTCTGGGCTGCACACGGGTACACAGGGATGACAGGGAAGCCCTCCTGTGGGAAAACTATCCCTATTTTACAAAGAAGTTGCAATGAGCTGTTCAGCTGAATAAGGCCAGCCTCCTATAAAAATTACATACAGGTCAATATGGTGAGGATTAAATGACGATGTAAATGAAAATTCTGTTAAAGTATCTGCAAATATATATAGATATATATAGATATATAATCTAGATTAAGCAAGGGACTATGAAGTCTACAAAAGAAGAAACATTTCCTTCTCCCCTGAGGCTTAGGACAGATATAGAGGATATCAACAAGAAACACTGACATTTGACATTGCAAATTGGTTTGTACTACCTCACATACTATCTTGAAGACTAAATTCCAAAGAGGGTAAGGAAAGATACTTAGAAAAAACCGGCACACGGCCTTTTCTGCCAACTGTGAAAAGCTCGCCAACTCGCCTCTACAAGGCAGTACAGAACAAGGGCTAAACATGCCGGCTCTGGGGGCGACAGCAAGGTTTTAACCCTACTAGGCTACTGATCTTGAAAGATTACCACTCATAAAACCTTAGTTTCTGTGTTCGTACTGTGTGGTGTGACTTGAACGCCGTTCTGCCGAGTGAGCTCCTGAAACACAGCTTGACAATTAAGCGCTCAAAAAATAAATGGGGGAGGGCTGCCTGGAGTATAGGGATGGGAGAAGTCTGCTGTTCAGATCAGCAAACACAAATATTTTGAGAATCTTCACTCCAGCCCGGCCATATTGGGAACAAAAAAACAAAACAAAACAAAACAAAAAAAAACCACCTTATCTTTACCTCTGACGTCCGAGCAACCAGCAGTGCAGACAGCCGTTTGCATGCAATTTACCTGACGCCTACCCATCATCCCATTCTATATGCAATTTAAAGAAAGGATTGAAGACGACAACAAAGCCAAGCCGAAGCGCCTCGTCTACATCTTTATTTTACTTAGGCGCTCTATTTTACTTAGGAGGTGTCCCGGAGTTTAAGCGCTCTCTGCGGCCCAAATCCACCTCAAATTCACCCAGCTCGGAGGAGCCGCAGAGGACTTCCGGACCTTAGAGGAGAACAGCCTTGTTCCCACAGCTCGGGGCAGCACTCTCGGGTCCCGGACGAGGGTTCCCATGGCAACATAGCCCTCCGCTCAGGGACGACGGAAAGCCTCTCTAGGCACGGGAACCCTCCGTTCGCTCTCGAACTCAGTCCCCAGCCATGCGAATCGCTTACCTACCTCTTTTCAAGCCTCAGCCCCTCCCGGAACCTCAGCTCCCACTACGAATCTATTGCTCGATCAAATGAACTACATTTCCCAGACTGCTCTGCGCCGCTCTTCCCGCAGAACCTCGTCTTCGATGAGCTTTCCTAGGAGGCTCTTCGGGTCACTCCCCTGGACGAAAACAGAAACTCTACTACAGTACTACGACTCCCATCATACCTCGCGCCTCCCAGGCTGCCGTGTCGGTCCTCGACTCACTTCCGGCTGATGACGCAATTCCGCTTTGCTGGGAACTTAGTGGACGGTCTGAAACGTAGAGCGCGGCTTTCGCTGGCGTTTCGCGGCTTCGGAGACCGGCATGGCATCTTCACGAGCCTCTTCCACGGTACAGAGCTCTGGATCTCAGCTAACTCCGGCCCGGAGTGTAGAGAGGGTGGGGGTTCCTCCAGGAATGGGCCGTTAGCGAACAGACTAAGGGAATGAGGGCCCGAGTAAAGACTGCGGGACTCTGATGTCCTGGAGAATAGAGCAGAGTTTTCTGATCTCTAAGCGCTTTCCTGTGCTGTAGCTCTCTGCACCTCTCCCATTGTGGCCCCGAATAATGAACACTTCTTACACCTGGCCCAATAGCAGTGCTCTGAAATGGAGAAGGGTCTTGCCCAGAATTGGTGTCCTTGGAATTTTAATGAGGCCTCCTAACTCCTAATGTACTGACGCACGTACGAAAACGTTTGAAACGTATAGAGCACTAACGCCGTAGCTTGTCCCCTCTTAACACTGCGCTGGTTATTTCAGTCATCCTTGATGTTTCTCAAGTGATAAGCAGTAAATCAAGTATCATAAAATCAATTGCATTTCCAGCAGAATGAACTGAACACGTTCCAAAGCAAACCTTTCATAGACTATAACCAAGACACCTTCGCGAGTTTTATCAACATCTTACCTCCTATCTGCCAGATGTAAATGACAGACCGACACACCTCTCCCTATCCCCGCAAAACAGTGAAGAACAGCTTCACCTGAATAAAACGCCTAGTGAATTTTTTTGCTGATGTGTATAGTTTGACTTTTGGTTTGTGGAGCAGTTAGGAATCAAGGTCAGAATGATCTTCATCCTTTGGGGAAGTCTGGTAGATTCTTAAAATTAAGCCCTAGATTAATCCAGGTCTTTGATTCACAGGCAACCAAAACTAAAGCACCTGATGACTTAGTCGCTCCAGTTGTGAAAAAGCCGCACATCTATTATGGAAGTTTGGAAGAGAAGGAAAGGGAACGCCTTGCCAAGGGAGAGTCTGGGATTTTGGGAAAAGAAGGACTTAAAGCAGGCATTGAAGCAGGAAATATTAATATAACTTCTGGTAAGATGCAAATTTGCTTTAGTGCTCTCAATTTTCTGTAATGAAACCTTCCCAGACTTGGGGACTGCCAGTTCTTTAATGTCAAAAACTTCAATTCTTCAACTTGCTGCTGTAAATTTATGCTTTGCCTACCCCTCTTAGCATCATCCAGAGAGTGTTTTTCTTACAGGCTTTTGTACAGTTTTTCTTTCATGAATTATTAGTAGTTTAATCTAATCTATTCAGTGCACATTTGGGTTCAAATTGATTCCACATGTCTTCTAGAAATCTAATATAGTTCTAGTATTGGCTTGCAGCTAGAGTTGTTCAAGGTACTCTTTTTTTTTCACTTATTCTTTCGCAAAATGAAATAATCTTTTTCTTATAAAGGTAATAGTTTTATTTTAAAATATCAAACAGTAGAAAGTCTTGCATTATTAATTGGGCATATATCTGTGTTTTAATACAGCTATAAAAATGTATAATTTTCTGTCTGTAAATAAAAGCATGATGTATATATTGTTTTGTTGTTTATACTATTGAAGATATCTTGCCATGTCAGTGACAAGAGTTTCACTTTTTTGTTTTGTTTTTTGAGCCAAGGTCTCGCTGTGTAGCCCTGGCTGGCCATGAATTCACTATGTAGTGCAGGCTAGCCTTAACTCAAGGCAGTTCTGCCTCAGCCTCTGGAGTGCTGGGATTAGAGGCATGCACCACCACACCTAGCTTAGAAATTATTTCTCTTCCCCATTTGAAGATCCGGTGATTGTGCTTATTTGCCTGTTCTTTTTTATAGGAGAAGTGTTTGAAATTGAAGAGCACATCAGCGAGCGACAGGCGGAAGTGTTGGCTGAGTTTGAAAGAAGAAAGCGAGCCCGACAAATCAACGTTTCCACAGATGACTCAGAAGTCAAGGCTTGCCTCAGAGCCTTGGGGGAACCCATCACACTTTTTGGAGAGGGCCCTGCTGAAAGAAGAGAAAGGTGCCCTTCCTAAATATTTCCTCTTCTTTATTGATCACTGGGTTCTAGTTCCAAGTCTAGTTAATCTTCTAGCTGAAACTGTAATGTCTGAGATAGTGTTAGCAAAATCTTGAGTTGTGTTTATATAGTTTAGCTTTTGGTTACAATCTTAAGCCAATTTCTTTTTTTCTTTCTTTCTTTTTTTTCTTTTTTCTTTTTTTCTTTTTTTGAGACAGGGTCTTGCCACATAGTGCAGGCTGGCTTCACACTTGCAGCCATGTCCGCCTGCCTCAGCCTTCTGAGTTCTAGGATTACACTTGGCCATTCTTAGGCCAATTTTTCTATTTCTCTTTATGAACCGTGAAGAGGGTGGGTGCCGATATAGTCCCTTCCAACTCCAGTATGAAATCTGAGTTGAACAGACATTGTTGAGCTTTGAAAACTTTGATATCAAATGCATTCCATATCAGTGACATAAAACATGATAAGATTTTTTTTTGGATATAATTGAAGAGTGCAGTTCTTGGATTATGTTCCTCTTGTGATTTTAAGGTTCTGAAGTGTTAGTGAAGAGTTAGTCACCTACAATTATGAGGAACCCTTTCTCTTTGTCACCAGCCTTCCTGGAAAGCTGGGTTATGTTTACACCCATAAGGTCCTTTATTCTTCAATAAAGGAGTCATTTATTGAGGAGTCATTATTCAACCAATGACAAACTGATTAACCCTTATCACCTAGAAATTGTCACCAACTCATTTACTAAAAATAGCCCTAGTAGACTGGCAGATACTCCCTCAATAAAGCACTCCCTTTCCTTCACTCTCAGAAGGTGAAGTCCTTTTCTGATTTTGCTTGTGTTTCTCCAGCTCATTCTTCTGATTTTCTAAGCCTCTTTCTTTCCCTGACTTCCCACCCCTGCTTAGTGCTGGGTATTAAACCTGGGGCCTTACACATGCAAGGTAAGCCATCTGCCACTAAGCTACATCTTCATTGCTTTTTAAGTTTACTTTAAATTTTGAGATGTGATCTCACTAAATTGCCCAGGCTGGCCTTACACTTGCAGTCTTCCCACTTCAGTCTTCCAAGTAGCTGGGATTACAGGCATGCACCACTATGTTTGGCTTCTTGCCTAGCATTTATAGGCTGCAGTTCTTTGCCCTGTGCTATACTCGCTCTAGGCCAGTGATGACGAACCTTTTAAAGCTTTCAGTGATAACAAACAACCAGCTGCAGCACTTGTGCCATAGGCTTATACCACTGCTCTGGCTGATCAGATCTACACCTATGGCATCATTTACTATGTGTATCCTGCAGACTCGCAGTAGCCCAGGTATCCAACAGACTCTTCTAATGTGAGACATCTAAACTAAAGTCTGTGCCTCACCTCTTTCCTGTCTCCAGATGGCAGTACTGTTCATACGTTGGCAGCCTACCTGACCTTTGTTATCCACCAGCAAAATCTAGTCTGTCTTAGTGAAATGTTCCTCCAGTCTGTCTTTGCTCTGTCTTCATTGCTTTCATATCTAGACTGTTGTGCCAGCTGCAGATACGTAAAGTGCTTGCTTAAAATCCTACAGTGTGTGGGCCTAGGAATATTGCTCAGTGGTAGAGTACTTGTATAGCATGTGCAAAGCCCTGAGCTTGATCACCAGTACCACAAAGAAATAAAATGAATCCTGCAGAGTCTTCCATTACACTTAAGGTTAAAAACCTCCTAGTTATCTTCAGTATAGTGTGCAGTCTTACTTTGTACCATTCTCCCCAGTTTACTAGACTATCTGTATTGGTCACCCTGAATACTCAAGTCCGTTTACTGTCTTTCCATTTAATTTTCTCTTTTTGTTCTTCTCTTGCCTTTTACAGCCTTCTAATTCTTTCGTTTCAGCATAAGTGCCACCTGTTCTAAGTCTCAACACCTGGCCCATTGCAAAGTGTGCCCTTCTATTTTCTATGAAAGTACGTTATTTTTATTGGCTTTATTAGGTTTATTGTTCATTTTTTTTTTTTTAGGTTTGTTGTCTTCTCCACCAGCAAAGTCTGTCTAATTTCATTATTATATCCCTTGGATGAATGCCTTGAATCCCTACTGCCACCATCTTAATTCAAGTCCACCAACATGACTCCAAAAAATTCTGCAACTGTGTACAGCAGTCTCATTTCCCAGCCTTTATTCTTCCCTTCTCAGTCTCTTCTTTCTACTCTTCTAGAGCTCTTTCTCAAATGTAAACTCTCCGTAGCATAACGTTAACAGCTCTCAGTGACCTGCCCTACTAACTTTGCAGCCTTATCCTGCACCAGCCATTGTATATTCCAGGCCCCAGCGGTCCTGAACTATATGTGATTCCAAGCTCAGCAAACTTCCCTTGCATTTGTTTGACCTTCTGCCTCTACTGTCATTTTCCCATTTTTGACCCCTTAACCTGACAGAGGACTCAGTTTATTTTATTTTATTTTATTTTATTTTATTTTATTTTATTTATTTCTGTACCAAGAATCAAATTCAGGATCTTATGCTTGCCAGACAGGCGCTGTACCACTGAGCTGTATCCCCGGCCCAAGGACTCAGTTTAGATTAACACCTTTTCTGTGAAGCCTTCCATGATTCTCCACACCTGTGTTTGGTTCCCCTTGTGCATTTCCCTTTAACACTATGCTTATGCATGTCATGGTACTTAATATAATGTCCCTATTACTTTCTTCCTCCTAGAACTATGCTCCTTGAAATTTGTAACTATTTCTTAGTCATTGTTGTATACTTAGCACCTGCGTAAATACCCACCACATTGTGGCATTCAGTAAAATATGGCTGTCTTCATGGACCAGGTAGTTGCAGTACACAGGCTAGTTGACTAAATGGAATAGAGTAATTGCTTATAGTTGGATTTAGAGGATCTTGAAATAAAGATTGAAAGATATCACACAGGCTGAAGAGCATGGTAGCACACACTTTAACTGCAGCATTTTGAGATGTTTTTTGATTTTTTTGGCTTTTTGAAACAAGGTCTCGCTCTTCAGTTCAGGCTGGCTTTGAGCTCACTTTGTAGCCCAGGCTGGTCTCAAACTCTCAGTTATCCTCCTGCCTCAGCCTCCCAAGTGCTGGGATTACAGACGTGTGCCACCATGCTCGGTGAGATGTTTGTTTTTGAGACAGGGTCTCACTATGTAGTTTAGGCTGGCCTGGAACTCACTTTATAGCCTAGGCTGCTGTTGAACTCACAGTGATCCTCCTTTCTTAGCCCCCCAAGTACTGTGATTACAGGCATGCACCACTCTGCCCTCCCACTTTGGGATGCTGAGCAGAAGGAACACAAGTTCAAGCTCAACCTGGGGAACACAGTGACTTAACAAGACCCTGCTCTCAAAATTTAAAAAAAAAAGTCCCACTGAAAGTTTAGACATTCCCACTTGACACAGAAAACCAGTTGCTGGAGGTTTGATTGGTAAGAGTAATAAATAGACATTATTTCCTCCTTTCCTGTGGTCTTCCTGTCCATGGTTTCAGTTCTTCATGGTCCCCCACAATCCAAATTTTTTAAATGTAAAATTCCAGAAATGAACAGTTTATAAGTTTTTATGTTTGTACCCCATTCTCAGTAACATGAAATCTTACACTATCCTGTTCCATACCACCCAGGAGGAAAATCATGTCTTCATCTCTCATATCCACACTGTAGGGCGATCTACTCATTGGTATGTGCAGTACAATAAAATATTTTGAGGGAGCAGGAAGGATAGGCCACATTCATGTAGCTTTTATTTCAGGGTATTGTTATAGTTGGTCTGCTTTATTAATACTGATTCCCTATGATGCCTAATTTATGAATTAAACTTTATCATAGATATATATGAAACTTTATCATATATATATATATGAAAACAATGCACAGCATATGTAGTGTTTGGTACTCTCGCTGGTTTCAAACATCTCATGATTCACTGGATCTTGAAACATATCCCACTGCAGATAGAGGTGGGGAGGGACTGTTATATCTTTGACCATCTTAACCTCAACTGTGTTTATATTCTGATCTTTTTGGTTACAGGTTAAGAAATATTCTCTCTGTGGTTGGTACTGATGCCTTGAAAAAGACAAAAAAAGATGATGAGAAATCTAAGAAGTCCAAAGAAGAGGTAAAATATGTCTTTGGCTTCCCAGCATAAACAAGAAAAAAATGAGGGACTGCTCTTGTTTTCTGCTTTGAGTGGTTTTCTTGGAGGAGGAGGAAAATGTTTTTGAGTGTTCTGCCATTCAGGAATACTTGTTGACAATAGCTTGTGATTCTCCTGTGGATATAAATCGAGCTAACTGAGTTTTCAGGAAAAAAATTGTGGTACTCTCGGTGTAACTCAAGAAACCATCTAATAAGACAACATAAAAAGAAATGCAGAAGAAAGTACATATGCCTGACTTCATCCTCTTACGGAACTCATTCATCTTTGTAGGAAGTGACACTATGGGGTACAGCATGCAAGGCACAGGTATGCTTCCGACTTAACCTTTCTGTTCTTGCTTTGCCTTCCAGTATCAGCAAACCTGGTACCATGAAGGACCAAACAGCCTGAAGGTAGCTAGACTATGGATCGCTAATTATTCCCTGCCCAGGTAAGCAGAGTGGCTAGAAGAAGAAAGAAACATATTCTTTTACGCACTGAGGATTGGCTTTATTGTGTTGGTGGCTATGTGAAATTAAGTTATAGTTATGTGCAAACCTTTCTTGGCTCCTCCTTTGCTCTTAGTAATAATGCTTTTGTTTCACAGGGCAATGAAGCGCTTGGAAGAGGCCCGTCTCCACAAAGAGATTCCTGAGACAACTAGAACATCCCAGATGCAAGAGCTGCACAAATCCCTCCGGGTAAGATGTTCTCGGTGATTGTCCAATATCTTATCTTAGCAAATTTTCTACTTTTCTATTTTTCTACTTTCCTACTTCCTCTTCCTCTCCCTCTCTGTCCGTCGGTCTTTCTCTTTCTTTCCACGTTAAGTAAAGGTAAAGGCAACTACGGTTGTTTCTCCCTGCTAGAGCTGTTAAGTGGCGCCATCAGTTAAGGTAGCTGGAACCCCCTACACTGCATATTCAGCACAGGCCAGTAGTTCTGCTCTTGACTTCTAAACTAGTGATAGGACTAGCAAACCGCCAAATTTACAGATAAGCCATGATTCCACTCATTCCTCAACATAAGTGTCTTCTGACAAAAGTAGAACAGTCTTGGGGTGGGTTAAAACTGAAAGGTAGGTTGGTTGGTTGGTGGAAAAGCCAAGGAACTCTTGAATGGGGCTATGAATGATTGCCATTTGTCTTTTTTCTTTTTTCTTTTTTTTTTAAGTCTTTGAATAATTTCTGCAGCCAAATTGGGGATGATCGGCCTATCTCCTACTGTCACTTTAGTCCCAATTCCAAAATGCTGGCCACAGCTTGTTGGTAAGTTCCGTTTTACAGTGACATTTTACTAAATGGGGGACAGGCTCAGAAAAAAAACTACAGTCTGCTTTAATTATTTCTTTTTCCTCTGCTTTCATGGTCACACCAAACTATAGATGCTGTGTAATAAGACATAGGCTTTGTTTAAAATTCTTACTGTTCACCGGAGCCTCCAGAGATCTGTGGCATATAGCAATCTGTCATGTTCTCAGCACTGCCGCTTTAGAGGTAGTGAGTTTATGGACCAAGTTCTGTGGTCTAGCTCTAAGATACATAATCCCTTTAAGCTTCCGTGTTCATCTCTGTAAAGTGGGGTGAGATAGTATTTTAAAGCATTTTTGCCTTGATGGGGCCTCACTAGATGTTTAGTAATGGTTTTACCATTTTTCCCCTTACCACCACATATGCTTAAAACTCTTAGGATGTTATAACTTTGATGTTTTATTTTGGTTTTGCTTTTTTGAGGGAAACTTGGCTGTCTAATGAGAGAGGAAACTTACACTGAATGCATAGGAACTACTTAACTAGGCAGAAATTGAGATAGTGATTCAAGAAAAAGCCAAGGATCTATGCATAACACTTCACCTCTCCCAGCCTCAGTTGCCTTAACTCTAAAATAGAAACAGTAGTTCTTGCTTTATCCACCTCATAGGTCTGTTACAAAGATCTTTTGAGATCATATGTATATACTCTTTAAAAGAAGTTTGTTAGGAAATTTCCAAAACAGAAGTGTTTTTTTCTTAATTTAAGTATTTTGTTGGTGGCAAAATGTGATTCAAATTTAAGGTAGCATCATTTTTAATGGGTAACTTGTCCTGTCTTCCCCCCCAGTTTGATCCAAAGGTTAGGAAGAATAGCAGCTTGCGCACGTTTGTGGTTCAGTAGAGGCCTCTAGTTGCCTAAGAACTGTTCGTAGCTCTTTCTTGTGTAACACTTCACATTATAAGCCTTTTCTTTTTTCGGTCTGCCACTATAAGGTATATAGAGGGTGAGAAGAGATTGTCCTTTATTAATGTTACCAAGATACCTTTTCCTTCCCAGACCAACCCTGGCTGAGATGCTTTCCTTTGTATTTGATAGGAGTGGGCTTTGCAAGCTCTGGTCTGTTCCTGACTGTAACCTCCTTCACACTCTTCGGGGTAAGTTAGACTCTCATTCAAGGTAAGGTAGAATCTTATTTAGATCCCAGCCTTTTTCCCAGCATAAACTCTGTTAAGCAGTAAAACTGCCTAGCACTTAGACCACCTACTGGATTGAGTTTTTAAAAATTAATTGATTTCTTTCTCTTTCCCTCCCCCTCTATCCATCTGTCCTTTTCTTTCCATTCTTTTCATTCTTTCTTAGGTCTTGTGCATTTACCCATGATTAAACTCATGACCCCCTGCCTCATGCGTAGCTGAGATTAAAGGCATACATCACCAATTGAGTCTTGATTTGATTTAATGTGGTTTGGTTTTCTTAAACCACAAGGCCAGACGGTAGTGACTTTGTTATAGCTTTCATGTCCAGCCATACCCTTGGCATTTTCCAGTGTCTAAATCAAAACACAGAGGGTTTTTTCGTTTTACTTTTTGATTTTAAATATTCATTTTAAATAATTCTTTTTTAGTAGTTGAATAGTCACTTTAATATTCCTTATGTCCACACTTGTTCCCTAATATAAACTTATTTCTGTGTAGTATTCATCACAGTCTGTATTTTGCATGTAGATTATAAAAAGGCAAGAACTCATTAACTTTAACCTCTTTACACTTCTTCAGGCCATAATACAAATGTAGGAGCAATTGTATTTCATCCCAAGTCCACTGTCTCATTGGACCAAAAAGATGTCAACCTGGCTTCTTGTGCTGCTGATGGTTCTGTAAAGCTTTGGAGTCTTGACAGGTATTGCTATTCCCAGTGCATACTGCCATCCCTAAAGTAGATAGGTGATTGGCGGCCCTCAGGACCTCACGTCAAGGATCTGGCATTAACCCCAGAGAGAGTGCAGGCCTCAACATAATATAATGTGAAAATAGAATGGAATTTCTCTCTTAGACCTTCTCTCAGCATAGGAGATGTGCCAGGTTTTTCTTATAGTTAACTTTGGGCCTCAATTTGTGCTCTACATGGTAGTGACTGTTACTGGCTCCAGTTATTGTGGAAGGATCTGACCTACCTCCTACACAGTACATTAACCTTGGAAAAATACACTGTTTGGTGGAAGACTAAAGATACTAGTCTTGGCAGCCCATTGGCTCTTAGCACACAGTCGTGGGACAGGAGAGCAAGGTTCTGTCTGGTAGTATTGCCAAGGGACACTCCTGGTACCAGCATCATCCTCCTAGGATGTATTTTCCAACTACAAGAGAGTTTTTAATGTGGTTATTTTTACTAGTCCCCCCAAGTTTTTGGCAGCACCTTGTTGGCTAACATATGAATTCAGTTGCTTAGTTTTCTTTCTTTGGGAAAACACAGGAAGGTTTTTATTCCTGAGTTTTTTACAGAGCTAATTAGCATCTCCAGTCCTTGCCAGACTGGGTCTTACCTATGAGCACACAGATTTTAATTGGCTTTGGTAATACTTAGCAGTGTTTATTCCCCTAGGGCGCTGGTTAGTTCTATGTGGGCACATTGATAAAAGTTCCCTTTTTAATTGCCCTCTTTAGAGTTCATGTTTATTTCCTTTCACTGGTGTTTCAGATCTTCCTATGGTTGCTGGGTAGCCAAGTTTAATGACCATTAAAAGGAGGCAAAGTCTCTGTCTACTTGGGAGTTCCTTTTTCCATTTGCCTCCTTGAATTGTCTAAGGTTTGAGAAAGATTTTTCTGTAACCCACTTACACCAAGACTATTTGATTTCTGTATCCTATCTTTACCAAAATATATTTTCTTTCTAGAATGCAAGCACTGCTTTGGTGCGGAGTATCCTTGTCAGGCTAAAGTACCTTATTTTTCTTTAATCCTAAATGGTACAGCATTAAGCATTTATTATCACAGTGTACTGAAGATAGTGGTCAGCTTGCCCTGTAGGTACATGAAATTATCCCAGATGTTATGTTTTGTTTTTGAGACAGGGTCTCACTACTAGCTCAGGCTGGCCTTGAATTCACCATGTAGTATAGGGTGGTCTCAAACTCATGGTGATCCTCCTGCCTCAGCCTCTAGAGTACTGGGACTAGAGGTGTGTACCACCACACTCGGCTACTTTCCCAAATTTTTTAAACCTTGCAAAGTGGCCTAAGTTATTGTTGTTAGGCCTAATGTGGAAAATTTTGTTTGTTTTGTCTTTGCTGTTCTCGGTATTGAATCCAGACCATGGTTGACAAGTGCTTTACAACTGGGCCACACCCCACCTAGCCCTACTGTTTTAAAAAATGGTTTAGTTACACTTCAGTCTCCCCACTTACACAGAGTGGCTTAGTAAATAAATGCAGTGAATATTTGCAGGTCTTTAAAAGTGTTCACTTACATGTGTTTGGTTCCTTTTCAGTGATGAACCAGTGGCAGATATTGAAGGCCACACAGTGCGTGTGGCCCGAGTAATGTGGCATCCATCAGGACGTTTCTTGGGCACCACCTGGTAACCCCCTACTTACTGTCTTACTCATACAGGCCTGTGGCATTTTATTAACCTGTTTAGTTATCTTCTGGGTAAATTTTTAGAGCAGAGATCTTCAGATAGGACTTTCTTAGGCTGCAGTGAATCAGAAGAATGTGTATAACATAGGAGGATTAAGTGTGTTTATTTTTATTTTTTTTATTTATTTATTTTTTATTTTTTTATTTTTTTTATTTTAAAGAATAAAACAAGGATAACATAATAATGGGGGGACTTAGCAAATTACAGACAAAATGGTAGGAAATTATCAATGGTTATCATTTTACATATTATTGTCTACAAAATAGTTTCTCAGGAAAACAAATAGACAAATAATAGTGAGTTAGAGACAAAAGAGGTAGGAGATTATCAAGAGTTGTTGTACTATACTTTGGTATCTTCAAAGTGGCTTCTAAAGAAAATAAATAGAGCTATACATGAGTGACCTATTGAAAAATCATTAACTATTCTCAATGGTTGTTGTAGGAAACACATAATAATAAACAGACATCCATTTATGAAATAGGATAGGAACATTACAAACTTTACACAGTTATGGATAGATTAGTAGGAAAATATCAATGGCTGCTGTAATACGTGGTGGTATCTTCAAAGTGGTTTCTAAGGAAGACAGAGATATGCAAGAGGGACCTAAGGTGTGTTTATTTTTAAATTGCCGCATGTGATTTAGAGGTTTAATTTTTCCCCCCAACACATAGTATTAAATCTGCCAACAAATCAGGTTCCTTTTCTTGTTCTTTAAATTCAGTGACACTAGAATCTGTCTCTTTGGAACTTTTCCTTTGGGGTATAATTAACAGACAGTGGAGTGGACATTTTTTAAGTTTACAGTTCGGTCTTCCCAAGTGCATACCATCTGTGTGACCCACACCCCTGTTAACATACAGGACATTTCCGTCACCCAGAAGAGTTCTTTCGTGCCTCCTCTTAGTCTGTTCACCCTTCCAAAGAAACCACTGGTGTGATTTCTGTCATTATAAATTCTGTCTATTCATACTGTATGAACTATTTGTGTCTGGGTTCTTTTACTTAGTGGAACACTTAAGACTCATTCCTGTTGCTCAGTAGTTCCCCCTTTTTTTTTTTTTTGGTACCGGCTATTGGACTCACAACTTCACACTTGCCACCAGGTGCTGTGCTGCTGAGCTAAACCCCCAGGCCTTGTACTTCCCATTTATTGCTAACAAATAGTTTATTGTGTGTGCTACAGCTTACCCCTTCTTGTGTTCATGGATGCTTGGGCTTGTTTCCACTTTTTGGTGAGTCAAGATTAAAGCTGTTATATTCTTGTGCAAGGCTTTTCATGAGTATATGCTTTTCTTTCCTTTCTTTTGAATAAATATCTTGGAGTGCAATTGTTAGCTCATAGGATAGGTGCATATTTAACTTTTTTTAAACCTCCAAGCAATTTTTCAAAGTGGTTGTACTATATTATGTTCCCAAAGTTCTGGATGCTTGCTTCTTCCCAACGTTAAGTATCGTCAATCTTAACATTTGATGTAGGTGCTGGGGATTTAGGTCAGCAGCACAGCACCTGCCTAGCAAGCACAAGGTCATGAGTTTGATTCGTGGTACTAGAAGGAAAAAAAAAAAAAATTGATGTAGTGTAAAATCAAGAATGTTGTTACTGGTTTTTGTTGTTTTGCAGTACTGGGAATTGAACTCAGTGTCTTCACACTTTTTTTCTTATTTACTTTTGAGACAGGGTCTTCCTAAGATGCCTAGGCTGGGCTCAAACTTGCAGTCCTCCTGCCTTAGCCTCCCAGAGTTTTGGGATTACAGGTGTGCATCACCACACTCAGCTTTGTCAGGAATTCTTGTTTTTTTTTTGTTTTTTTGTTTTTTTGTTTTTGTGCTTTTGAGATAGGGTTTCACTCTGAAGTTCAGGCTGGCCTTAGACTCACTTTGTAGCCCAGGCTGGTCTTGAACTGACAGCAGTCTTCCTGCCTCAGCCTCCTGAGTGCTGGGATTACAGGCGTGTGCGACCATGCCCAGCCATGTCAGGAATTCTTACTGCCCTGGTGACTATTGGTGTTGGGTACTTTGCCATGTGGTTACTGATCATTTGCATGTCCTTCTTTTGGTCTGTATTTCCATGTGTGTAGCCAGTTCCCCCAGTATATATTGATGAGGCTTTTCTTTCTCCATTGAAATTGCATTGGTGTCCTTGTAAACATTTGACTGTGTGTGTGTCTGGGTCTGTTTCTGTACTCTGTTCCCTTCCATTGATCTATTTGTCTGCTTGGTTTCTGTATACCCCACATCCACTGTATATAGATTCAGTGGGTGAAGAGACATAACGGTGGAGTGAAGGAAACAAAAAGACAATAGAATCTTTACTGGACCATTCTTAGGAATTTTAAGTTAGTTAAGTTTAATTTTTAGTTAATCCGCTGGAGTGGGTTAATAGGAAGTCCAGGGTTTCCTGGTTACTACCTAAGACAGAGAGGCTTAGTTGTTGAAGCATTGTATATTGCCAGAAAGGAATTTCTTATTAATATGGCTGAATGGTTTCACGGGCATAAGTTAATAAGCTATAGTTATTTGTAGTACCTTGCAGAAATTGAATCATTTTGCCGGTTGACAGTAGTGTGGTTTGATTTTGCTTTTTTAAAGCTATGATCGTTCATGGCGCTTATGGGATTTGGAGGCTCAAGAGGAGATCCTGCATCAGGAAGGCCACAGCATGGGTGTATATGACATTTCCTTCCATCAGGATGGCTCTTTGGCTGGCACTGGGTAAGGCTTCTTCAACAAAACCAAGGGCAGCACAGTAGTCTTGCCTCTTACATATGCTTGCTTCCGCAGAGGGCTGGATTCAGTGTTGTTGTTGTTTGTTTGTTCTGTTTTGTTTCCGGTACCGGGAATCGAACTCACGACCTGGCGCTTGCCAGGCAGGCACTGTGCTGCTGAGCTAAATCCCCAGCCCCGGATTTAGTGTTTATGTATTATTTCATCAGGGGACTGGATGCTTTTGGTCGAGTTTGGGACCTGCGTACCGGACGTTGCATCATGTTCCTAGAAGGCCACCTAAAGGAAATCTATGGAATAAGTTTCTCCCCTAACGGGTAAATGAACTTGCTGATTGAGGGTGGAGAGGGTCTCTAGACAATACTCTGTTCCTAACTTTGATAATGTACCTGATCCACAGCTACCATATTGCCACTGGTAGTGGTGACAACACCTGCAAAGTGTGGGACCTTCGACAGCGGCGTTGCATCTATACCATCCCTGCCCATCAGAACTTAGTGACTGGGGTCAAGTTTGAGCGTAAGCTTTCCTCCTCTTCTAGGCCTAAACCTCAGACAAAGATTGTGCTTCCATGGAAAACAGGCCAGGCTTTAGCTTAGCTTAAAAGTGGAACAGGATATGATTTGACCTTTGTTAAAGGAACAAATTTGAATTCCCTTCTCTCGTGGCACACCCCTAAACTAAACTATGCTGAAGCATACTTTTTGTTGCCAGGAAGTAAAGACTTCATGAGTGCTTTGCTTCATTCTTTCCTCCGTGGACATTCTTAACACTGGGTTGTTAATATTACTCTACTTGATTATCTACCTGGGAAAGAGCCTAAAGTTCTTAGCATGTTACCTTTTCTCTTCAGTCTGCCTGTGGTTGTCCCCTTTTCTTGGAAACCTAGTAGGAATAGAGAATCAACAGGTTGGGTCTTTCTGAATGTAAAAATGCCTTCTTTTTCAAAATAGTGTGTTTAGGCAGATTTTTATGCTTTTGTCTTCTTAAGCTCTTTTGAATACTTGAATTGTTAAAACAGATCCCCTTATTCTGTCCCATAGCTATCCATGGGAACTTCCTGCTCACAGGCGCCTATGACAATACAGCCAAGATCTGGACCCACCCAGGCTGGTCCCCACTGAAGACGCTGGCAGGCCATGAAGGCAAAGTGATGGGCCTGGACATTTCTTCCGATGGGCAGCTCATAGCCACTTGCTCATATGATAGGACCTTCAAGCTCTGGATGGCTGAATAGGCAAGGCCATGGGAGAAGAACTCACCTCAAGCTGCCCCTTAGGAGCCATTTTCCTCAAAAGAAAAGAATTGATGTATTTTATTTTGTTCTATCATGTTTCCTGCCAATTACCATGTAAAGGTGCTCAATAGAATTGATTTTCATGTCAACTCCCAAACAGGGAGCCTAGTCCCTACATGATGGCAAACCCCTTTCGTGGTTGAAAATTTAATTCTCATCCTCAGGCCCTGCCAAGAACTGTGTAGACATTGTTTTTATTAATTTTTGTTTAAATGTTCTACCACCTTCCTCACAGCACTCAGAATTGTGACTACTCTGCATTTTTAGTTCTCAAAAACTTGCCTTTCCGTGGTACATGCTTCATGACTGCATGTGTTCCATCCGGCAAGTCAGGGGGCCGGACTGTGTTCCAGAAGCGCCGGCATAGCGAGGAGCATCTCGTCACTCGCTGGTTGAACAATGCCTGACCTGACAGTGAGCCCCTTTCCTCTCCTTGAAAAAGAGGGGAAGCAGCAGGCTGCAGCTAAGCTGGTGATGGTGCAGGAAAGAAGACTGGACACTTGCTGTGGAATGCACTTGAAATGCTGACTGCACCAGGAAACTCAGAACCAAACATTCGCTTGGTCAGAGAATGTTTTCCATTTTGCTTTAAGTTTGGTGTCCTTCCTGTTACCCTAAAGCACAGCCATTGTGTCAGGATTCAAAGAAATTTTTGAAATTGTACAGCTCTCTTGTACAGCTTCCTTTCAGGTGGTTAAAGGATATAATTCGTATATTAAGAGTACTTCATGTCAAAATAACTGGAAAAATCCCGAATGGGCATTCCTAAACATGCACGTTCTTGTTTTTTACATACTTGCTAAGAGCGAAATCCTACCATAAAAAACCATTCCTTAAAAAATTACTTTCTAGGGGGCTGGGGACATAGTTCAGTGGTAGACTATATGAAGCCCTCGACATCCACAGTACCCAAAAAAACAAAAAAATTTGAAGTTAAGCATTTTCTGATTCCTAACCATTAATCCAAGCAGGTCCATTTTGTTTTGTTTTATGTAGACTGATTTCGGATGTAGATTACTCCAATTTCTGTCTCTTGCATAAGCACTCTATTATCCTTTTAAACAGGGCAAGGGTTGTTGTCCACATAGGCCAGACTAACAGCTCTATGTGGACTCCATAATCCTATTCATCAGGTGATAACTTCCACCTCTTTCCACCCCAGATACACATCCTGTGGACTCTGAAGTGACACAATAAATTTACACACAAGTAGAAGAATTTGGAAGAAAAAGAGTACGTATAGAGGAGAATTAAGGAAAGGCTTTATAATAGCCTTTGAATATTCAAACCCCTTCTTACTGCTGGGTGTGGGTGCCACACATCTATAGTCCCAGCACTTGGGAGGCTGAGGCAGGAGGATCACCTTGAATTCAAGGCCAGCCCAGGCTACATAGTAAGTTCAAGCCTAGCCTGAACTATGCTGTGAGACCCTGTCTCAAAACAAAAAAAAACCCTTTTCATTTGCTGTTTCAGAGAGATTAAGGATGGCCCTGCCTCTTTTGCAAATTATGAATATGTGCTTGTAGCCAAATGTACTGTTTTTAATTTGATTTCAGTTATAACCAAGTAGTTGCATTTCCTGTGTAGTTGCTCAGCTTCAGTTTTCTCAAGTCTACCCCCATTGGATACTGAGTTCTGTTTCCTTTATGGTTCACCATGAAAAAACTTTCAATTACCATGTTTGTAGTATGTGTAAAATAAAGGTAGACATTGGTGTACTACCATGCAGCTTAGATATAGTATGCTAAGAAAGGTGTTTAGTTTCTCAGGTTTGAATTTATTAGGTCCGTTAGACTTGTCTTTTGTATTTTGGTGGTTCCAAAAGGGTAACATTTGGGCAAAATGTCTAACCCTTTGGCAGGTTGGTGGAATAACCATTTGTTCAGACATCATTGTAAGAAATTATTTGCTGAGAAACCCAAGGCCAAGATGTAGCATTTCATGACAGTCATGATGAAATCATGACATCATAGCCATCACTTAACAGAGTACTTCCAGCCTACATAATGTACAAGGCACATTTAGACGTATTGTTTGACCCTCATAATCATATGAATTTATTCCCTTTTTACAAGCAAAACATGCTTAAAACACTGAAGATTACCCACCTAGGAAGTGTTGGAACTAAATTTGAGTTGTCTTTTTAACCATTTGTGATCTTATGAAGATATTCTGTAGGGCTGAATGTATTGGCCACCCTGGCAGCAAGACCGTTCAGATCAGTATGGCCTGTTTCCTGTACAGTCCGTTTTGTAACACTGCCCTATCAGTATGTCACTTGCTGTCTGACGTCATGCTGAATGGAGTTAATTTCCCTGTTGCTGCTTTGGGAACTTGGGAGCAGCATGGTGTATTGTTCAACGGGATGCTCATTTGCATTTTGGGATAACCATGAGTATTGCAGCAGGTCTCAAGTGTCCCTGACCTGTGCAATAAACACAGAAGTACCCACTTCGTTGAGTATCAGAGGTGTTTTCACACATTTGCAAATGACCTATGAGATGGTGGGACTGCCCCAGTGTGGAACTGCTGAGCGTGAAAATTGAGGGTGCTGTGATATTTAGTATATCTTCCCTATCTGAAGTAACTCAGAACTCTCTTATTTGCATGGTGTAGCAGTCACTCCAAGAAGAAAAGTTCTACTTTGAGTGAAAACAACTACTAATTAGCAAGGTGACCTTAAAGAAGGCAGCTGAGCTTTCAGAGCCTGAGTTTCATCAGTACAGTGGGAGTGAAGTTACTTAGACCAGCAGGCCATACTGCAGAGGCCAGTGTCCCTTCCTGGGCATCCCCTGGCTGCTCTGTGCCCTGTACTGAGCAGCTGGAGCCTGTCCCTCAGCTCAGACAGCGATGGTGAGATCATTGCCTAACTTAACCTGCCACAGAGTTAAGGAGCCTAAGACATACAAAAAAACGAAGTCAGTGGGGAGAGATTGAGTTGCAGCGTCAGTGTAATTACCTTCAATGGCTAAGCGGAGAGACAGGTGCTGGTCCCTGCTGGGATACGTTGCAGCTTTCCAACTTCGTAATGGAGACTTTTTCCTCACTTGGAGCTTAAAATCATATTGTTTTGCTCAATGCAAGAAATAATCTTGTATATTAAGACCCCTAAGGAATATATAGACAGCCCCATTAAAACTCGATTTAAAAAGTAAAAGTGACTCAAGTTCTGCCCTTTGGTAGTTTATTATACAGTCTTTCAAAATTCAAAATGTTACTTTTTCATAATGTGATGTTTTAGCCATATGGGGACTGTTTCAGAGCCCTGAACCACTAGACCAGTTTAAAACTAGGGAAACAGAAAACAGAAATTGATTTTAGGCACTGGAGGTGTCGATCTGCCAAGCAGCAGCCTGATCATTCACATGCTATTTCCTTGGTTTCTAGATTCTGTGGTGTAAAGTGAAAACCAGCGCCCACCACACACACACACACACACACACACACACACACACACACACACACACACACCTACTGTGGCTTGGGACTGGAGCTCAGGTTTTGCCTCTGCCAGGAGTTTGTCTTTCCTCTTGAGGCCAAAATTATGGTACTGCAAGGAGTAGAGTCTGAGCTCTGCTCTGTACCCTGTCTAGTCAGAGCCTCTGCACCTACTAGCAGGACTAAAGACCTATTCCTCCAAATTCCAGATGCTTAATTCAGTGATCTGGCTTCTTTCACTGTTAGATTCTTATCCCCTAACTCTCCAAGAGCTACATGCTGACACAAGGTCTTACAGAAGAAGCTGCTGAATGAATGTCCCCTCTCTTTTGCTGGGGGCCATCTGCCACCCCTAGATATCTTACCTGTTGCTCCTGCACCTTCCTGAACAATTTTTGTGGAATGAATAAATGAATGAATTAATGAATGCAGACCATTTTCCTGGGACTGGTAGCAAGACAACCAAATAGCTGAAGAGACAAGCACATTTGCCCTCAGAATTGAAACTCATTTTTCAAAATTTTTAGCAACACATAATGAAGTGGTGAACTGAGTCCAAAGCAGCTCCGTTGAGAAACGTAATTTGTTGTTTGGGCTAGCCAGGTTCCTGGATACCATTGTCCAGCCCTTTGGCACAGTTTGCTGTGTGGCTCTGTAGCCATAGAACCACTTCCGTGTCCTCCATGGCCCCCATGGTTCACACCAGGAGGTCTCAGTTCCCCCCGTCCTTCAACTTTTGGTTTTGCTCTTTTTTTTTTAAATTTCCCTCATAGTGGGGCCTTTTCTGTTCCCAGAAGCAAATATATGGCCTAACACCGATCCCTGGATGGTAAATTGAGCAATACTACAAAAAAGCACAACGCCAGGTGAGGGTATGCGGTCCCCATCCCCAGCAGCTTGCTCCTTGTCCATGAGCAAGCACTCACCCCACACCCCAAAGGAACTGCTTGGTCCAAAAAATGGAGACGATGAGCAGCAGAGTGACGCTGAGGATGACAGCCATCAAGTAGGCAAAGATCCGAAACTGCGGGTTGCGGACACACTCCCTCAGAGAGTAGTGGCTGGGGACGGGAATGGGCCTGGGTCCGGTGGCAGGGGCTGTGTCCTGGGGGGGGCCGGTCTGGCTCCCAGGGTCAGGGCCGAGGTCCAGTGTGTAGACTCGAGGTTGGCGCAGGAAGTAGCGGCTCTTGGGCTGGTCCTTGAGACAGAGCTGACGCCCTTCCAGGATGACGTGGTGGGGCTCCAGGCGGAGCAAGGTCAGCATGGCAGTGTCTGTGGGCAAGTCAGTGACTGGCTGCCCCGAGGCCAGGATGGTGGGCTGGCGACAGAGTGGGCAAAGCAAGCGGCGCCGGGCAGGAGTCACCAGGCTGAGGTGGGCCAGGCATTCCACGCAGAAAGAGTGGCAGCAGTCCAGCACTTTGGGGGTGTGGAATGTGTTGTTGAAGGGGTTCCAGCAGACAGGGCACTCAGCCTCCAGCTCACGGCCACGTGGCTCGGCCATCCGGAGGCCTCCCGGGGATTGTGCTGGCAGAGAGGAAGGAGCGCAGTCACACTCACGAAGCTCTGTCCCTGTGCTTGGTCTGAGCTGAATTCTGTGGGGGGTTTAAAGGTGTCACCCGCACTTCTCAGATGAAGAAGCTTGGGTTCGAAAGCATGTGGTCCCACTTCAGCCAGTCTCTACACCTTAAAGTTCAACCTAAGATACACAGCTACCTCTGTATCAGTGGAAGGCCTGTGTCAACCCCGCCAACGGTCCTGAGTGAGCTGGCATCCGTGGGGAAAGTACCAGCCTGTGGCGATGCCTGAAACTGCCCCCTGTGCTCAGCGTGTTTGCCCTTGGCTGCCCTGCGTCCAGGGAGAAGGCTGAGATGCACTCAGTGGTTTTTGGTAGAGGACGAGTATTTCTTTCCCTGGTCCAGTACCTCAAATTCCTCACCTGGCCAGAGATGGGCTTTGTGAATTCCCTGGTCTGTCCCTTCTCTGGGGACAAATGCCAGGCCCTTTTTCCCTCCCTGCTGTGGGCTACAGGGCAAACCTTCCAGAGCCCCCTGGGCCAGTCTTCAATTGACCTGGTCAAGAGGCCGCTGCTAAAGCTTTTTCTCCTTAACCTGGAAACCTTGGGAGGTCTCCTTGCCCAGATTCCCAGATCAGCCCTTCCAGAGCCTCTTCCCAGTAGTACTCAGCCTCCCCGGGCTCCTCCTCCACACTATTTTGTCCTTGGGGACCGTCAGGGCACCCACCTGGGCTTCCGAGGTCACTAGGATGGTCGGGCAGACTATCCTGGAGGGCTGAGGCTCCGTGCTCTCCCTCTCCTGAATCTGCCAAGCTTTGGGAAATTACCTTACCACCAACCGGGGGCCGTCTCCATGGCAGCGCACGCACAGCACCTGGAGCTGCCAGGTGGCCCAGGCTGCAGAGCCTCTTGAGCACCGCTGCCTGGAGCCAAGGCTAGAGAGCCGCCTGGGTGGTGCCTGGGAGGTAGGGGACCTGAGCTTCACCCCCACACCTTGGGTGTGGCAACCAGTCCAACTCAGAAGCCACGTATCTGCAAGACTGTGGGTGGTTCTTTCCAGACCTGAAATCCCTGGCCCGGAAAGGTAGGGGTGGCAATTTCCTCTCTCTAGATCTTGGGGAGGCTGAGTCTTCTGGGCTTCCTCTCTCTTGGGGCCTCATTTCTTTTCTAAAGTGGTTGGAACCTCTTCCTCACACAAAGGGGCCATGGGTCCTGCACTTCTATTACTGAGAAATTCACCTACTTCCACCCAAATCAGACCCAGCAAGTCCTTTTCATCTCTTTCTGATCTTTTCTAAGTAGCTACAACCAGCGAGGGTAAACCGTGCCGCCTTCTGCTTTGTTCTTGGAACACAGATGGTCAGTGGCTGAGATTTTTCAGACCCAGCTGCCAACCTTGAGGATTTACAGTTGAGAGGAAGAAGTATGCCAGCCTTACTTCCCGATCTCAACCAGAAACACTTGGATTTTATCTGTTTCTCACATTCATCATTTAAATTACTTGAAGAGCTGATCTGCTGGGGGGAAAGTACTTACAAAGCACTTGTCTGTCCTAATCACTCACTTTGTGGATGGAGACAAAAGTTATCCAGCTAGTTTTGGTGACACTGGGACACCATCTTCAGATTCCCTGTCTACCACTGTACTGCTGTCATAAAGAGACCCTGCATCCATTCAGTCCACCTGGTGGATGTATGTTATCAGTAGGAAGTGTTTGCATTTTATCAGGAGAGTCTTTATGGCCATATGACTCTTGTGGTAGGAATACAGGAACTGTGCAGGGGGAAATTCGGGGGTAAGGCATCTCGTGTAGACACCGCCTATCCTGAGTTGATACCTAAAGTGTAGCCAAAGCCAGCAGCCCACACCAGGGCTTTATTCAGTGGACTGTTTATCTGTTCAGCAGTTGCTGAGTGCTTACTACACGGCAGGCACTGTGCTAGGGATTGGGTAAACAAAGGAAAACAAAAGTGACATCAACTTTGACCTCGTGGTATTTAGAGGCCAGCGAGGCAAAGAGACGCTTACAGTGTAATAGGCAATAAGGAAATGCATGATTTTAATGAATGCTATAAGGGACAAAAGATAAAATGGGAAGTGAGAGTACCAAGACCCCATCTCAGAAAAGAAGAGAAGGAGGAGCAGAGGAGAAGGGAAAGAAGAGGAGGAGGGAGGGAAAGGAGAAAAGAGAAAGAGAGAGCTGAGTGTGGTGGCATATGCCTGTAATTCCAGTACTCTGGGAAGCTGAAGCAGGAGGATTGCAAGTTTGAGCCCAGCCTGAGCAGCCAAGTGACTTAACACGAACCTGTTTTAAAAATAAAAAATAAAAAAGACTAGGGATGTAGCTCAGTACCAAGGGCCTAAGGACTGAAATCCCAAAACTGCCCCACCCAAAAAAAGGAAGAGAGAGACAGAGCCAGACAAAAGAAAATGGGCTTAAAATGGAAAGTTACTCCAAAGAGGTGATATGAAAGCTGAGGCGGAAGGAGGGAAAGAATCCAGCTGTGCAGCATGGAGGAAGAACAGGACAGGCCAAGGGAGCAGCTGCGCAAAGCCTGAGGTGAGGAGTTCCATCAGTGTGATGAAGTGGAAGGAGGCCAGGGTGACAGGTGGGGGCTGGAGGCGGGTCAGGGTGGGCAGAGGATCAGGATGAGATCCAAAGGGTGGGAGTGGGGACTTTAAGCTCCGGAACGCATCTGGATTTTATTCTGGGGGAGGGGGAGTTTATTTTCATTTTAAAAATGCCACTCCAGCAACTGAGGACAGGCTGCGAGAGACAGGGGTGGGAACAGCAGGTAAGTGTGGTCCAGGCATGTGATGGTGATGCGTGATGTAGGCCAGGCGAGAATGGAGAAGATAAAACAGATGCACGGCATAAAAGATATCTGTAGAGACAGAATCAAAGCCACTTCCCAGTAAGCCGTACCTTGAGAACTGGGGTATACACTCTGGAACCAAGTTTGTAAGACTCATGAGCTCCGAGTCTCTGCTTATTAGAACTGTGATTCCAGTTGAACTGCTTAACCTCCCTGTGCCTCCATTCCCCCTTGAAAAAAGAAAGATAAAAGGAGTGAAGCTTTTAGACAGAGCCCAGCACTGAGTAAAAACTAAGTACAGTATAAGGAAGTTGGTGTTATTACTTCAAGTTGGATTTGAGAAAGAGAAATGGTCATAGTTGACTTCAAAGCCATGAGAAAGCTAGATATGGTGAAGCATGCCTATAATTCCAGCTCTTAGGAGGCTGAAGCAGGAGGATCCCCACAAATGTTAGGCTAGCCTAGACTGCATAGTCACTTCAAAGCCAGCCTGAAGCACAAAGGGAGACTCTATCTAAAAAAAAAAAACAAAAAAAGCCATGGGAAAGTTATCTGCATCAAGCGTTGCAGCACTCCTAAATTCCAGCATGTGTCAGAAACAGACCTTCAGTTCTTATCCAGAGTCTTAAAATGTACATAACCTTGACTGAGTACTTCCTCCCCTGGAAATCGATCCCATGGAAATAATCAAGGAAGGGCCTATGCAAAGATTTGATTACAGAGATGCTCACAGCGGAACTACAGTAATGGTGACGTATAGCCAATTTCCTCATTATCCAATAATAGAACACTGAGTGAAGTCTGTCCTGCAGCCTTTAAAATGACATGATAAAGTACTAATATGGAAATATGTCTGTGATAGGTCATTATGAAAAAGAAGTAGTAATAAAACCATATTAAACATAATCCTGTTTACAAAAATATGTGTGCAATGGAAAAATATCTGGAAAGACAAGCAAATGTCAGCAGTAGTTATCTCTGGAGGCAAGACTACATGGGTTTTCTAGTTTGTTTTGTTTTTTAATTCTCTTACCTGAAAATTCTAACTGTAGTCAGCTTGTCTTACTAGCCTTAGAGATCTCCCCCTTCCCTTCACATCAGACCTACATTCTCTGAAAATCCGTGGCCAGCGCTGTAACAGGCTGTCCAAGAAGAGAGACGGTGACTGTGGCCTGGCCCTCATCAGCGGGGCGTGGCTCAGGGGCCCTCTGCAGTTCCAGAATCAGCTGGTCAGAGCTCGATCTCTCCAGGAGACACCTTCCCAGGGCCAGCTAAGCAACAGCAAGCCCTAAACACCACCCCATAGTCGTCACCTTGGTCTGTAAAGATGTCATTGCCAGTACGAACTGTCCACAGCAGCACCTCTTCGTTTTCAACATCACCAAGGCAGAGATAGAAACCTAGCCTATCGAGCAACTAATAGCCCCTCACAGCTTACAAAAGGCCCTGGTCCTTACTAGGATCTACGTATGGCAACACATCTAGATAGTCCGTTGCCCGTTTCTATTTGTAGGAAGGCCATCTGCTTCTCTAAAACCACCCAGTGAAGGAGGCAGAACGTGGGGGGGAAAGAGTAAGCAGGCTTTGAAACCAGAATTTTTTGCTCATCTTGAACAAACAGCTTAATTTCTCTGAACTTTGCTTTTCTTTGTGAAAGAGAGCCACCCTCACAGAGTTGCTGTGAGGAAGGGTCTGTAACCTGCCCAGCAGGACACAGCAGGTGGTTAGTACTTCGCTAGCATGATCGTTTTTTATACCCATTTGAAACACGGGGAAGCTAGGGCTCAACATGGTGAAGTGACGTTGAAGACAGGCCCAGAGAAACCCGCCTCAGAGGCCAGAGTTCACCTGCTCCCCGGGCTCTGGTGCCTCACAGGACCTGGGGCCCTTTGACCACCCCTCCATGCCCATCTCAGGCTCCTTACCTGCTCCCTAGGGCTGCCTCCTCCTCCTTCCCAAGAGAGCACAGCCCTGGCTTTTTGGGCTCTGGCTGCTGGGCCTGTCCAGGCCGCTAGGGGCGGGCCTCATCTGTGTGGTGTCCCAAGCTTGTGTCACTCTCTGCAGCAGGTTTTTCTCTTCTCAAGTGACTTCGGACTGTCGGTGTATACAGCGGACTCCCGGAAACTACGGCCTCTTTGTCTTCCTCCTGTGAGTCACTCTTGTTCTTTCACTGGTGGGGTGAAGTCCACTCACCCTTGCAGGCCTCTGTGTGGGGCTGGGACTGCTCACGCCCCTCTGTGGTGACTGCCTGGACCCATGCACAGCCTGGCCTTGACAGGAAGGCAGAGGACCTCTGACCCTTCCTCCTCTGAGAGCCTGCAATGAAAACACAAAGACCTCTTGCAAAATACACATAACCCAGCAGAAAGTAGTGAGGGCAGAGGCAGGTGAGCCTAGCAGGAAAAGCTTGGATTCTCCGGCAAGTCAGAGTCCCTGCTCAGAATCCAAACTTCTCTTACTAGGGAAGAGACAGGCAAATTAGTTAATTTTTCCAAGCCTCGGTTTCTTCATCTGAAAATGAGGGTAATAATCCACCTAGTTGGTCCACAGATGAAATGATAGACTGTAACGTGGTGAATGGCACACAGAAACACACAGCAAATGTGTGTTAGACCGGTAGAACTATCATTGTTCTTTTAGTGCTATCAGGAAAATCACATAAAGAATGAATGCAAATAGAAGCTACACAAGGGAAAATGTGTGTACACACCTGCATGCAGTGCGTGTGTGCATGTGGTGTGAGCACAGCAAGTTTAAACAGCAAGGTGTGGAAGTCCCTCTGCAAGCTGTGCCGTGGCCTCACTATCTTCCATGAGGGTATTCAAGTGGCTCATCTCGGGTCCCTCTCGAATTCTCTTTGTACTTAAGATCCTTTCATTCCTTCAGTGATCTTTTCAATGAAGTTTGGAGGAGAATAAATAGAAATAAATAGTAAATGTACCTAAATGGGATGTAATCAGATGCCCTAGTTCCCTCATTTAAAGTTTTTTTTAGAATCTAATATTATTTTGCTTATGTGCTACCACAGGGAGTGATAAAATCTAATATTATTTTGAATAGGTGATACAGTCACATGGCTCTACATGTGAAAGGTTTGTTTGTGCAAAGGAAATTATCTTCTCCTCCCAGCCACCTACTTTTCATGAAAATTAAGGTATTATTCCGTTTCTTCTGTAACTTTCCAAAGATGTCTAATGCATACACAAACAAAACGTCCATAACGAAATGTCTATGTATTCATCTTTCTCTTGTTACCCAAATATACATGTTATACAGACTGTTCTGTACCTTTCTTTTGTCACTTAACAATAATATATCTGAGATACCATTCTGTACTAATATGCAGAGTTTTCTCTGGCTTTTTAGTGGTTGTATTGTATTTCATTGAGTGACTATATGATAAATTACTTAACCAATCACCTATTGACCTAATCCTTTACTTTTAAATATATAAATATTGGATAAAAGAATAAATGCAGAAATGATTTCAATTTATCCTAGAATTGCACATGTATGACATTTTAAAAATAAATAAATAAAATTGTGGAAGCAAAGGATGGCGGTGCATGCCTGTAATTTCAGCACTTGGGAGGGCTGAAGCAGGAGGGTCGCTGTAAGTTTGAGGTCAGCCTGGACTACATAACCAGGCCTTGCCTCAAAAACCAAAAAAAAAAAAGAAAGGCAGAGGCAGGGAACAAGGGAAGTAGGGAAGGAGTGAGGGAGGGAGAGAGAGAGAAATAGAGAAGACTGTGGACTTGAGGACATTTTAGAGCTCTACAAAAGAACTCTCAGCAATTCTCTGAGCTGGTGACAGAGGGATGATTGTTGATGATCCTCTCAGCTCTGAATGCCTGGCTTCCTGTTATCGCTACTGGTTAACTAAGGCTAGTGGGGGAGTCAAGACACTGATTTATTTCAATGGATCCGGTTTGTATTTGAGAGTCTGGAAGTCATGCTTTCTGGCTGGGCAAGACTAGTGCAAGCCATGAATAAGCTGACTTTCACTTAGTAATTTAATTCTCCAGAAGTATGCAAAAGATATATTTTGGTTGAGTGAAGATGTTCATTGCAATTTTTTTTTTTTTAATTTTAAAGAGTAAAGGAGGGACAACATAGCAATAGGGAATTCACCGAATTACAGACAAAGTGTAGGACATTATCAATGGTTGTTATTTTACCTATTGGTATTTTCAAGATAGTTTCTCAGGAAAACAAATAGACAAATAATAGTGAGTTACCGACAAAAATGGCAGGAAATTATCAGTGGTTGTTATACTATACCTTGGTTTCTCAAAGTTTCCCTCTTTCTCAGAGTTTCCCTCTTTTTCTCTAGGGAAAACAAATAGAGATATACGTGAGTGATCAATCAAATAATCAATAGTTGTTGAGAACACACAGTAACAAACATACATCCATTTACAAAATAGCATAGGAACAATACAAACATTACAGAGTTAAGGACAGATTGGTTTCATTGCAATTTTAACTACAACTCAGTGGTTGAAAATAACTCAAATCCCACCAATTACTATTGGTAGGAAACTACATAGTCACTTAAAATGATTGCAGAAGAACTTTACCAACATGTAAAAATGGCCACTGCATATTACATAAGGAGCGGGGAAGCAGTTTCCATAATAGTATAGACTGTATGAGCCAGGTTTCATAAAGTGGGACTAAAGACCAGATCAGTGTTACTATGGTTATCTCTGGGCAATGGACATCATGTTCTTCCTTGCTATCTGCATTTTCTGAATTTTCAAATTAGTATACTTCACCTTTATAGAAAGCAAATTGACTTACTAAGGTAAGTTTGAGTTTTCTGCAGCCAGGGAATCCAAAACTTGAATAGGTAAGCAGGTGAGATGGGTAAGGGATCAGCCAAGGAATTGCAAACAGTGAAATAAACACAAAACAAGCCATGGCCTTTTTCTGGGTCACTGATCGTCTAGTAAGTAAACGCATCATTGTAGCGTCTGTGGGTGGTCAGAGCCAACGAGTCCTTTGCAAACAGTGGAAAATTTTCTGGAGAGATACCCAAGAGAGATAGAGAGGCATCTCAGGAATTTGAGAGTTGAACTAACTGACTTCATGCTTGTGGGGGGGCTGAAGTCAGCCAACTGGAAAAGCACCTCGCCTAAGCAGTACCTTGGGACTGGATGAGCAGAGTCATGAGACTCCTTGGAGCCCCGCCAAGGTGGGGATCAGAGGGGTGGGATGAACCGTCTGGGAAGAAGCTCTTGCTTTCTCTCTCTTCATTCCCAGAAAGGGAGGATAGATCTAAAAAAGTCAGTGATGAGGCAAGTTCTGAATAGGCGACAGTATTTAGCAAGCTCCAGCCAGGGGCAAGGGGCCACTCTCCCTGAGGGCCACTACATTGTCATCGCTTATCAATCACAGCCTTTGCAGTTTTGTCTGAGGCCTGTCCAGAATTTTAGGACAGTTCCAGCAATGTAGGCATCACCTGGAGGTTTACAGAAGCACAGACTCTCCAAATTTTTTTTTTAGAACTATTGAGGCAAAATGTATACTTTCACAAGATCCTTAGCAGATCTAGACACATAGCAAAATGGGAGGAGGACTGATTTAGAAGAAATTCCCCCGATCTGTTCTGCTTGACTCAAACTGATTATGCTCATCCATAGTCACATAAGGGCTTTTCGAGGATGTGATGCCCTAGAGAGGGCTGGGTGAGTCCCAAGCTAGCAGTGGCCATAGCTTTGCTATCATCAGAATTTGTATTGCAGGTCATAACCCCTTATGCAAAACCTTTGCAGTCAAATGTATTTCAGAGCTTTTCATATTTTAGGAAGGTAATATGTTTGCCATATATGAAGTAACTCTCAGTGGGATCTAGGACAATATTCTGCAGTCTATTATGAATATTGACACTAAATAATACTTGATTTGGGGGTGTGGAGATTTTAGAATTGAGGATAAAATTTATGAGCTGTTTTATTTTCTTTTGGGTTGTTTTTTGTTTGGTTGGGTTTTTTTTACTTTTAGACTATGTCAGCTGAATAAATTTAGAAACACCGACGTAGTTCAACGTCTCAGCTCTTGTTAACCTCAGACTCTGCAGAAACTACAAGATCTAGATATTCTTCCATGTAAAGTAGTTCACATACTTCATCCTTCTAAGCAGGTCACTTCTACCACAACTCAGCTCAACTCAAGGAGATTGTGAGCAGCTGCTGGCTTTTGGCAAAATTAAGCCATTTGTCCCAGCTAACACTGATGCTAAATGTCAGAGCTGATACTTGAACCCAAGGCCTCTGATTTGTGGTCCAGTGTGGTCCCCTGCTTCCCTGAGCTCTTGGACATGACTTCGCCCCTCAGTTCTCATGTCCTGTGTTCTGGGAACTGGCTCTGGCTAAAGGATAAGGGATAAAATGCTTGCTGCACATGCCTGCTGGTGTGTTTAAAAACAAGGAACTGAAACCGGGCAGCTTTTCCTCCAGCTGCTCTGGGAATGAAGCATCTCCACTTTCAACCCCTCAGACTGTCTTCTGCATGGGGGAGGCAGTGAGCGGCCCTCAGGAGGTCCTTGGTGTGAGTTGGCCCAGGCAGAGTCAGATGAGTCAGCGGGTTTACTACTCTGAAGACTTGCTCCGGGTGAGTCCTGCCAGGAAGACACTGGCAGAGCTGGCTGGAGGCTGTTTGTACAGGAAGGTCCAGGCAGCTAACCGGAAGTGTCCAGGTCCTCCTCCAAATCTCAGGAGATGACTGGGCCAGCGGCTGTCTCTGGTTTTGTCATGTTCAGATGACAGCATTGGCATGTCGTTTATCCCCTTCAAAACTCATGTGGAAATCTGGTTGCCATTATGAGAGCTGAGAAGCAGTGGGGCCTTTTAAAGGGATTTAAAAGCTCATTCAGAAGGATTTATGCTTCTCTCACAGGACTGGGATCATTCTTGTAATAATGGGTTGTTACTGAGCAGGTCCAGGCCCTCTTGCCTGTTTCTTCTGCTTTTCTGCTTTCTGTGTTGAGTTGAAGCAATATAAAGCTCTTACCAGAAGCTACTCAGATATCAGCACCATGTTCTGGAAACTTTCCAGCTCCCGGGACTGGGAGCTAAATAAACTTCTTTTCCTTATAAATCACCAATTCTCAGCAGTTGTTATAGCAACTGAAAATAGACTGAGACAGAAAAGTGGTACTGCCAGGTAGAGTGATATATGCCTATAATCCCAGCATTTGGGAGGCTGAGGCAGGAGGATTGCCATGAGTATGAGGCCAGCCTAGGCTACATAAGTGAGACCTTGTCTTAAAAAAAAAAAAAGTGATACCAAGAAGTAGGATGTTGCTACAACAATACCTGAAAATGCAGGAGTGGTTTGGAATGGGTAGAAGCTGGAACAGTTTTGAAGTGAGTGCTGGGGAAAGTGTGCATTGCTATGAGTGGAGCAGTAAGATTCTAGTGAGGGCTCAGAAGAAAACAAGAAGAATTCTTGTTTAGGGAAAGTCTAGGACTTCTAAGACATTACCATGACCAGAACACTGATAGAAGTGCAGACTGTAAATGCCATTCTGATGACGTCTCCAATGGAAATGAGGAATATCTTACTGTGAACTGATACAAAGGCCATTCTTATTATAAGGTTGCAAAGCATTCAGCTGCATTGTACCAATGCCTGCGCCTTGTAAAGATGGAATTTAGGAGTGATAAACTAGGATTTCTGGAAGAAATTTCTTTGTTTTGCTTAGGAACAAGGTTTCACTATGTTGCCCAGGCTGGTCTTGAATTCCTGGTCTCAAATAATCCTCCTGCCTCAGCCTCCCAAGTAGCTGGGACTATAGGCATGTGCCATTCTGCCAGGCCTAGAAGGAATTTCTAAGCAAAATATAGAAGCCACATGATTATTTTTAACCACTTACAGTGATGTGAGAGAGCAGCAAGAGAGATGATAGTTTAATGACAGAATCTATAATCATAAGGGAAGCAGAGTATAAAATTTGAAAATTCACCACCTGGCCATATAAAGAGCAAAAAGCATGCAAAGTGCAGCCAAGCTACCGCTATTATTTTGGGTTTTGTTGTTATCTTTTTCTTTCTTTTGGTTTATGTTTCTTTATTTTATATTTTTGTCTTGTTTTTATTTTTATTTTTTTCTTTCAGTTATTGTTTTTTACTTTTTTTCTACCAAGCAACCCTTTGCTAAAGTGCTTAGTATGGATGGATAAAGGAGAGCTGGTGCTATGCATCAGGACAATGGGGAAAAGCATTTCAGAGATTTTTGAGGCTGTGCCTCCAATCACAGGCCCAGAGGCCTAGGAGGGCACAGTGGTGTCAGGGGGTTGGCCTGGGTTATAGAGATCCCTTCTTGGTCCTTGTTGCAGCCCAGGAAGTTTAATTTCTAATCCCATGGAAAAGTTGTTGGAATTCTAGTGAATTAATTCCAATCTACCACTTCCAGTGCAACCCGTGGTGAGAATAAAGACACTAAGGCATATCCGTAGTTATGGGGAGCCAAAGAGTCCTAAGTCCAGTTATGATGATGGAACTGGAGCAAAGGCCTTGACCCAGGGCTGAATCTGGGTTTTATTAATTCATGAGGAAGGGAGTGGCTTGAGGATGAGTGACTGCGGGAATGGCGGGGCATATGTGAGTTTCTGTGAGCGGGGCTCCAAGGTAGGAGGCCTGCAATCACCTCCGCAATATGCAGAGAGAGAGAGAGATGCAGAAAGAGTAATCTGCGTAACACAATTGATGTAGTATCTAATGTTTTGGGGTTGTGCTTCAGCTCTGATGTGTAACCTCTTCTGGCCTGCGAAGTCATAGCCTCTCATCTCGAGGCTCGATATTCTGCCAGGAAGCAGTGGGAATGAAGCGAAGTGGACAGTGTGGAGCAGGGCTCTCCATCCCACCCAGCTCACACATGTTTATTTGAGAGTTATGGGGGTAGTGGTGGGGAAACACTGCCCTATGGTCTTTGCCTCAAAGACTACATAGCAGCACCGTGGCTGGACCGATTTGCATTGCTTAAAGCCAATTGAAGGGGTATGGTAAAGTCCTGGCCAGCTCTGTAAACATCAATTCAGGGAAATAGGGCCAGGTTCAGCCAAAATGGAGACAATTTTATATGTACATACACTCACCATCATGTTTGGGGATACATAGCCTTTCTCTTTTCAAATATAGAAATATTTTTCATAAATTTTCTTTTTTTTGTCTTTTTTGAGACAGGGTCTCGCTATGCAGTTCAGGCTGGCCTTGAGCTCACTTTGTAGCCCAGGCTGGTCCCAAACTCACAGCGATCCTCTTCCCTCAGCCTCCTGAGTGCTGGGATTACAGGTGTGCGCCACCATGCCGGACTTTTCATAAATTATTTTAAAATGTCATCCGTGTTATACTCTTTTTCACTTTATCGCATTTCTGTGTGTATCATAAAATCATCTTCCACAGCCTTTCTTTCAAAGTGAGGGCTGTCTTCCTGTCTTTGTAAAAATGATACAGGGAAAAAAAACCATGTATTTACTTGCACATGCCTTCATTGCTGGCCACACTGGTGACCTCCAGAGGGAGCCAGAGGGAAGGTGGACAGGGGTGAGAGAATTTTCACTGTATAACATTCTGTACTCTTCATGGAGACTGTGAATGTATTATCTGTTTCAAAACGATATTTAAAAAAATGAAACTAATATATCCTAATGGCAAAAATAATGCAGAAAGGCATAAATTAGACAATAAATTCATCTTTAAACTCAGTATCCAGATAAAACGTGGTTTACATTTTGGCCATGTTTCTTCCAGATCTTTATCTCGGAGTGTACAGATACACTTCTACCACAATGAGATGGCTGCTGCTGCGTGGTGCTCTGTTGCTTGTATTTTTCACTTACACTGAATCATGGCCATGGTTCCATGCGGCCTCACTGTACACATGTGCATGGTTATTAGTCATGTGATGTTAGCCAGTTGCTAAAAGATGATTTCCAGATGAACTGAGAGCCCAGCATCGGGGGCTGCAGTCCAAGTGGTACCAGTCCCCGCTAAAGCTGGGCTTTTCAAATCTCTGTGCAAGCCCTTGCCCAGGCAGGGCACTGTGCTGCAGACCCCGAGAGGTAACATCTGGGAATGGATCTAATGTTCCTCACTCTGTGATGTTTACACCAATGTCACTGATTCCATAGGTGCAAACACCTCTCTGCCTCCTTCCCTTTCAGCCTTTATGGCCACCACCGGTGGAACAGGGCCATTGCAAGGAGAGGGCCTTGCTGGGGAAACCAGCCCACAAGTCGAAAGCCCCGAGCTCCCACCTGCGCTCTGCCACAGCTATGTGACCTTAGGCAAGTCACTTTTCTGCAGATTGGAAGAAACAATCTCGAATCTCCAGCCAGTGTTATTGTATTGGAGGACTCAGATAAGACCATGACTGAAAGCACTATGTAAAGCACAGTGCGCTGTGTACACATAAAGTATTATTGTTAAAATCTGATATCTTTTCAGGAGGTGTCAGATAGAGGGGTAGAGGCCAAACCAGTCGGTCTAGTTTCCTTCTAGTGTTGTTTCCTGGAGCTACCACTCCTGCGGTGCACTCTTGCGCCTCTACCTTCGGGCTCATCTTAAAACCGAGGGTTGTAAAGCTCAAGGGCACAACTCAAACGCTAATTCTTCTGCTGGTGACAAGTAAATCAACACAAATTCCTTGGAAAATTGTTTGGCAGTATCTCCTAAAACTGACTGATTGTGTGAATTGCCCAGTAGCCTACCAACTTGCCTGCTAGTTTTGGAGCAAGCACAGATACATACACATGTTCACCCAAAGACCTGTTATTAGACTATTCATTGCAACACTGGAAGCATTTCAAACTAGTAACCATGTGAATGTCCATCAGTATACAAATAAACTATAATACTTTCACAGTGGACTCCTATCAGCAATGAGAAACAGTAGTAGGTAGGTAGATATCCAGCTGCATGCAGTATGGAACAATCTAAAAAATGTACGGGGGCTGGGGATTTAGCTCAGCGGCACAGCGGCTGCCTAGCAAGCTCAAGGTCGTGAGTTCGATTCCCGGTACCGGGGTGGGGGGAACCAAAAAAATAAAAACTGTAGATCTGTCCGTAAGTCTGACCTAATGAAGTCTGACCAGAAATAGAAAGGTACAAGCTTCTTTCACTTAAATCTCTTGCTGCATAATGTCACTCCAAAGCACAGTGTCTTAGAACAATGATTTATTTCTCATGAGCTTCTGCGCTGGTTGTACAGTTTCTCTTCTGATTTCACCTGAGTTTACTTACAAGGCTGCCTGGAGCTGCAGCTAGCTGGGTTTGAAGACCCAAGGTGACCTCATTCTCCCCGTGACCTAAGCCACCTTCCTTTTGTGGCGACCTGAGGGCAGCATTCCAAGAAGGTGAAGGTAGCAGCTACACAACATCTTAAAGAAGGTCAAGCCTCTGTGGGTGCACAGTGCCCGTTCCTCTGGATTATGTGGTCAAACCAAGTCAAACGGTCAGCCTAGATTCAGAGGTTCCTCTTGAGGAGAGGAAGTCACATTACAAAGGGTCACACATAGAGGAACAGGAAACACTCGTGGCCATATTTTCCACTGACCACAACATAGCATAATTCCATTTATATAAAGTAGGAAAACAAAAATCAATATCACAAATTCATTGGGAGAGTATAACAGAGATCATCTGGACTCTCAGATCTACTACACTGATGCATCTAGGCCCTGGTTACTAGAGTTTGTACTTTTATGAAAATTTAGCAACCTTTAAAGACATTTGCAAATTTCTGTATGATTACTATACTTGAATTAGAAGTTAAAAGTTATATAGTGGCTTCAAAAGAGAAAAGTTCATTTCCCTTTTAGTAACAGTCTAGTCAGACAGGCTGGCGGAGCAGCTCAGCTCCTCGGGGTTAGTTAGGTTATCTCGCTGTTCCATCATCTTGTCCTCTTCTGCAGAGTGGCAGTTACTTGCTGTCTGATTTCACTACTGGGAGGGACCCTGGTGGGTGGTCCTGGACTTGCACATTCCTTTGACGCTAATAAGCTGGAAGTTACACACATCACTTCTGCTCACAACTCACTGACAAGAATTTACTCCCATGACAAGTCTACTTGGGAATGTGGCCTAGCTGGCCAGCCAATTTCAGGGAAACACCTAGCAGTCTCCTGCATTTTTTAATGATGAAGCTGCACTTTAGTCTTTTTTTTTTAAGACGGGGTCTCACTATGTAGTTCAGGCTGGCCTTGAGCTCACTTTGTAGCCCGCGCTGGTCTTGAACTTGCAACAATCCTCCTGCCTCAGCCTCTTGAGTGCTGGGATTACAGGTGTGCACCACCATGCCCAGCTTGAAGCTTTAATAATTATGTTTTCTTAAAAGGCAACTGAAAAATAGCTAAGTTCCTTTCTTCTCAGTGTTAAAGATTAAAAACCCCAAGGGACCTGAGTTCTGTACTTTGCTGGTAACGCCTGTGTCAAAGTGAAGGCCATTAAAAACCACCACCTGTGTTTCTTAAATATATAAAAATGTTAATATGTTAGAATACATATACCTTAAATTTTAACTATATACCTAGTCAGAATCCAAGCTAAGGGCTTACATACTTTCCTGGAAAAAAAGTCTACTGTCTTTGGATAATTCCTTTATATGATTTTAGAAGCAGCCTCTGAAGTGTCCAATTAAGTTACCAGCCTGTGTTTTAGACACTGAGAGTATTTGACCAGGGCCTATCAAACAAAAATAATTCTCTATAAATGTTAGCATTTGTTTACCTATTTTCTTTTTTTTTTTAATTTTATTTTTGAGACAAGATCTTGCTATGTAGTTCAGGCTGGTCTTGGACTCACTATGCAGCCCAGGCTGGCCTCGAACTTGAGATGATCCTCCTGCTTCAGCCTCCATTGTGCTGGGATCACAGGGGTGTGCCACCACGCCTGGGTTGTTTTGTTTTTTGTTGTTTTGGTTTTTTTTATTTTGAGACAGGGTCTCGCTATGGAGTTCAGACTGGCCTTGAACTTGCAGCAGTCCTCTTGTCTCAGTCTCCACATTGCTGAGATTATTAAGCCTGTGCCACTGTGCCCAACCTTCATCCATTTCCTATTTATGATGTATAGAAAAGGAATTCTGACACCAAGCACACATGCAGAGTTTAGGAAAGGGATTTTACTGACGTAGAGCCCTGCTGACTCTTGAGCAGCCTGCTGTCTCCTCACTTCCCCCTCTCAGTCGCCCGCCCTGTTTTCCTGGGACCTCCTCCCTACCCCTCTTTGGACTTTCCACCTATCTTCCTTCTATAAGAAAGTTCCAGCTGCAACATGAATAACCCAGCATATGCTAGGATGTCCCCTGAGACATCTGTCTACTGCCCCTTGGATCAGAGGGTTAGTGAGTTTATGACTGGGGCAGTGGGTGTAGAGTGCTTACCTGTGCACACAAGGCCCTGGGCATCCCCAGCTTGGAAAAAAAAAAGTTAAAACAAAAACATAAAAACCTCCAGGTGTGGTGGTGCACACCTACAATCCAGCTCTTAGGAGTGTGAGGTAGGAGGATCACTACAGATTCCAGGCCAGCCTGAACTCCATAGCGAGACCCTGTCTCAAACAAACAAACAAACAAACAAACAAACAAACAGGCAGGCAGGGAAAGCCAGAAAAGACAAACACATACCCCTTCTTTGGCTGGGACACCTTAGAGAAGGAATCTCCAAGCTAGGCAAGGTAGTATGTGCCTGTAACTGTAGTTCCAACTACCTAGGAAGCTGAGATAGGAGGATTACTTGCACTCCCAAGTTTGAGCTAGCCTGGGCAACACAGCAAGACCCTATGTCCAAAAAAAAAAAAGTAAATTAAAAAGAGAAGAAATCCCCTGATCTCAGTTGCCTTATTCTTAGGCTCATCTGAAGACAGGAGGAACTCTATATTTTCCCTCAAGGAAAATGGGCTTTATGAGCACCTGGCTGCAGACCGACTCCTGGTGACCACACGGGCTGACCAGAGTAGCCTGCCCCTCCACACTGGAGGGCGCTCAATGGTGGGGGCTGAGTGGACTCATCTCTCCATAATCCACACGTTCTCTATTTCACAGGCTCCCTGTTTGCCTTAGTCCGGCCACTCCCAAGAACATGTATGTTTTATTAACATAAAGTTAAATAAAAATACTCAAGTTGCACATGAACTTTGTTTGGCCTTGATCTCTGAACCTCTCTATTTCCTTCTCCCTGGAACAGGCTGGAGAACCCCTGTAATCCCGGTGGTGTCCTCGTGCTGGTTAGGAACTTAAAGCCATCTCAGGACCTTTTTTCATGTACTCTCAGCAGCACTGCTTAGGAAGGCATACCGAGGATGACAGGGATTTCCCACTTCCTGCTCTGCTATTCTGTTTTTTGGTTTATTTGTTTTTTTGAGACAGGGTCTTGCTACGCAGCTCAGGTTGGCCTCGAACTCATGGTGATCCTCCTGCCTCAGCCTCCCGAGTGCTGAGATTAGAAGAGTGCACCACCATGCACGACTTGCTCTGCTTTCTGAAGAGAAGCCAAGGCATCAGCTTTCCTGTTGTAACTTTGATTCATCACATTGCTGAGGAGCAGCCACTGGAGCTTAATTTCATTGTCCACAATCTGTTTCTTCTATGGCGCTGCACTGTCCTTTCTCATCTCTGCAGCCAAAGCAGAGTTTCTGTCCCTACTGCCTTTTTCTCTTTTGTGGAGACAAGGAAAATATCAGTGTGACAGATTCAAGTCCATGTTTCTACTCTCACAGACAGGCCTACTGCTCGTCTACCTCCTGGTCATCATTTTGAGCAACATATCTTTTAAAGGTTTGGATTTAACTTAGATTGAGAACCTATGTTTACTCCATCTTTTTAAACTCTATACTTGATTTTGAAGTGCAGGATTCAAATTGACTTCTAACACTGATATACCTTCTAATAAACCTAGGCAAAGAATACCAAGCCTATAATTCGGTCCCCCCAAGATACTACAGAAACACACAGTGCCACATGGAGAAAGGAGAGATGCAGTTTCGTGTTGTCCAGTGAAGGCCTGTGGGCCTCAGAATGCTGCCACTTCCTGCAGTTCCAGCCCTCTGCTGTGGTCCACTCTGAGTAAGTGAATTCCAGTGTTGAAACTTGCACACAACAAGGAGCTGGCATCACTGACAGCCAGGGACGTCAAGGGTCCAGAGCCATCCAGGGACAAAGTGAAAAGGCAGGCTGAGGGAGGAAAGGGGCGCCAGAAGGTTAGGCCAGGAATGTTACAGTCTACATCACTGGATGATGGGATACATCTGAGAAATGCATTGTTAGGCAGTTTCATCATTGTGCAACATAAAAGCACATACATACTTACACACCCCGAGATGATACAGCCTCCTACATACCAGGGCCATGTGGCATATACCGCTACATATGTAGTCTGGTGTTGACTGAACTATCATTTTGTAGTGCGTGACCTATCATGGAACACCATGTCCTCATGAGGAACCTAAGGAAATACAGCATGTACTGTGCCTACTTACAGCACAGGAGGGCGGCCCACTCCATGACTGCAATTACAGAGAATGGCACCCAGGCAAAAAAGATCTACGCCATCAAGAAGTGCATTTAGACAGTTGAGGCCTTACCTGCTAAACACATGCTAAAAAGGTGCCTCTGGTGACTTGCCCAGAGAACGAGGCAGGGTAGAGGCAGGGAGAAAAGATCTGCAGCTGCCAGCTCCCTTCAAAATAAAGGAGAATGGGGACCTGCGGGAATCTTAGTGGTTCGCAGCTGACCCGGCCTCCCTCCATCTGCACCTCTGAGGCTGCTATTCTAAGAACTTCAGGTGCATGCCCCGGAGGCAGGGCCTTTGCCCCACCTGTTCAGGTCAGTACTCTCAGACCTCACTCTTTTTGGTCCTTGGTTCATGCTCATCAAATTTAAAACATTTATTGCCCCGCTGCCACCACTATGACACCAGGCAGCTGGGCAACCAACTCCAGGTGGAGGTACAGCAGGTCTGTCCTTACCATGAAGGCTTGGCTTGAGGCCACAGCCGACTGCAGAGCACCATGAGACACAGTCCCACCCCCTTTCTCTGCGAGGGTACCCTATCTCCCCCGGGCAAACTGAGTTTCTGGAATATATTGTAGGAAGGAGTTGGAGTTCTCTAAATACTATTCTTGTCTCTGGCAGAATCCTGTGTCCAGGACAGAATATCATAAAGCTGGGTGCTTGGAAACCAGCTTTCTATAAAAAAGAAAACAATAAACAAACAAAAAACCCCACCAAAACCCCAAAAAGAACCCTAACATTTATTTGTAACACTTGGCCAACTTCCATGATATAAATACCTCCACCATGACTAGACTTCATGACACCAAATGTTTAAAAAAATAAACAGCTCATGAACTCCTGAATATTTAGCAATCAGCCAGTAGGAGGACATGGAGATGTCTGGGGAGCCATATTCCATGAGACGCCGTTAGTTCTCTGGTGCTTTGACGTGTCGTGACCTTACTGTGATCTTAAGCCTCAGCTTCAGAGTCCAAACAAGCTGAAGCTTTCTGAGACTGTCCTTCCTCCTCTTCAACCCCACCAAAAACTGAAGCTCTTGTTTTAATCCTTGAAAATCAAATTCAGAAGTGGTAATTCTTGTTCCCTTTTCCAGGAATTTTGAGCATCACAAGTTAAAACGTGATGAGGAACTTCAGGTAGGAAGAACAGAAGGGCCAAATATATTTTATTTAGGACAGTGGCCAGGCATAGTGGCACATGCCTGTAATCCTAGCACTCGGGAGGCTGAGGCAGCAGGATCGTTGCGAGTTTGAGACCAGCCTGGGCTACAAAGTGAGCTCAAGGCCAGCCTGAATTGTATAGGGAGACCCTGTCTCAAAAAAGACAAAGAACAGAAACAAGCAAAGGACAGTAATGGCGAACCTTTTAGAGCTTTCAATGATAACAAACAGCCAGCTGTGGCACAGGTGCCATGGGTTTGCCACCACTGATTTAGGCTTTCAGGAGTGAGTCTACGCATCAAGGTACCAGAAGATTGGCTTTGTACCAGAACCAAGGCTGACCAGAGTGACTCTGGCATCTCAGTGTCATCTCTTAACCTCTAGGGGACTGGACAGTAGCAGGAGCTGGGTAACTATGTATATGATGAGCAACAAAAAGAAAGTTTGAGGACGGCATGTGTATACTGAGAAGCAATGACAGCAGGCTCCTTACCGCCAGTGTCTTGGTTCCAAATCTTCACCTTGGAGTCATGTGATGAGGTAGCAATCATAGGCATCAAGGCCAATGTTTTTGGTAGGAAAACACAGGATGCTACTGTCTGGAAATGTCCTTTATACTCACATATGCTGTTTCTTGTCTGCCGTAGGTCCCACAACTGCCAAGGAAGAAAGAATACAGACCAGATCGTACATAGTCTTCTAGCTTCATACACACTCCACCACTAATATTGTTCTTCCTGGCCTCTAATGATCTTCCTATTCCACGCACTTACCTTCTCATTTAGCTACATAAACCCCTTATCTTCATCCATTACACCCCAACACTCATCCATCCATAGAATCAACTATGCACCAAACAACACCAGTTAAGGAAGTGCCAAAGGGTCATTGCCTTTTTCATGATTAGAGAAAAGCTTCAAGTCCTACGGCATGAAGAAATAGTAAGAAGATGCCTGATTTCCATCACAACTCAAAAGCTGCCTTATACCAACTTCTCGGCATCTGTGGGTACTGCAGGGAGCCCATAGTTACAGGCACTTTTTCATAACTACATATAGCTGCAGGCATTCTGATTTAATGCCTGGAACCTACAATGAGGTAAGTGACATCTCCCCTGGGTTCCACTCTTACTGATACTACTATTTCTTCTATGTGAATGTTGTTATTCACAAGAGAATAACATGCAGAGAGGAGCTCAAACTGAAGAGTGCCCCAGAGCAATGAAATCACTGGAGATCACATCATCCATTATCCTGGATGACAGATGCTACAACTAAAGTCTGCAACACTCTGATTTACCAATCACCAGGGATGTAGTCATATGCAAGAGATTTCAACTTACCATGCCTCTATTTCCTCATCTGTAAAACAGGGATTAGAATAGTATCTAACTCACAGGATTGTGTTAAGGATTAGAAGAGATAGTGCATGTACTGTGCTCAGCCCAGTGCTTGACACAGAATAAGCGTTTGACAAAATGGGAGCTATAATTGTGCTATTTGGAAACTAGATAACTTGTTTAACTGACACTCTACAATTATAAATGTAAGGTACTGTGCAGGAGCCTCGCCAATCTGTCCTGCCATAACTGCAGGATAAGAAGGGATAGGGCTAACACTGGAGCTCCATGTTCCCTAGAAAACCTGAGCTTCCTTCCCGTGGTCACATGTGCAACAGGAACTCAAGTGCTCTTAAGGCATCCCCTCCCTTAGCTAAGCTCTGCTCTCAGAAAAGACATTGGCAGGCTGGTTCTGTGTTTAGAACTTGTCTATCTTGGCTCTCATCCATTCTGTGTGTGTGTAACCAACACAAAGAGCCCTAGGTCAGAGGATACTTCTTCAAAGCGCATCTGGAATGTAAAGGGTCCCTCACAGTGGACACTTGGACTAGGCCTGGACCATCAGTACGGTGACCTCATGTGGTCTGGCTAAAGGCATGAGCCCAGAGGGAGTGACTTGCTCATCGGCAGCCAGAACCTGGGCCCACACAAGCTCTCACCGTGGCTTCACAGCCTTCGCCTCCAAAGCCATTGCTGCAGGAGATGCACCTGTGTCCGTCCACGCTGACTTCACAGTAGGTCTGAATGTGCTGCTTTGGGGGAAACATATGAGCCACCTGCAGCCCCCGAATGTCCCATAATCTGAAAGAAATGAAAGCAATTAATGAGTGTGTAGTAGACATGGCTAAAACACACCCATAACATCCCACCAACATAAAGGCCTTGGCTCTCTGCTGCTTAGGCCAGTCCGAGTGGAATGTCATGATTTACCTAAAGTGCGGCATGAACCAGCGCACACCCTCAGACTCTATAGCCAACGGGATGTAACCAAACTGAAAGACATCTGAGTTCTATTTTGAGATCAGCTAATAGCAACTTAGACCATGCATCTTAACTGTTCAAGTTAATTTGTTAATTTGGTTCTTCAGGATATTGCGCTCAATGGTTATTTCTGTGCCTGTGATTTAATTTTTTTTTTTTTTTTTTGGTTTTTCTTGTTTTTTCTTTGGTACTGGGAACCGAACTCACAACCTTGCGCTTGCCAGGCAGGCGCTTTGCCGCTGAGCTAAATCCCCAGCCCCTTAATTTTTAAAAAATACTTATTATGACACAGAGGACAGCCATCAATCCAGAGGCAGATACAAAGGATTTACAGGCTCTGGCCCATGTTAGCCTTGGAAGCCACGGGAGAGTTTCATTTTTCTTCTGGTCTCACTTTTACCCCTTTATCTCACTCTTGACATTTTCTAAATAGAGTCTCCTCTAAGAGCCAAGGTTTCTAGCCACGCTCTCCAATCTAAGAGCTAGAGTCTTCATTCGATTCCCCTGATGGAGATCCTGACTCTGCGTCCTCTGGGAGGGCTTTGGCTGAGGGGGGCAGGTGACCGGGACTCCAGGAACCATGAGAGTCTGCAAGCGGGGAGCCAGGCAGCCTGACAGGGCAAGACAGATGACTGACCCTGAGTTCGGTCTGAACAGATCCCCGCAGGGGGAGCTGGCTGGGTCAGCTGTTTCAAAATTGTCCAGAACTTGGTGTGACTCCTGACTGATCTCCTGGCACCAGCCTGTACCCAGACCATCCATGGAGCCGGACCAGAGAGATCCAGCATCGGCGAGGGAAAGGGTGGTGGGAGACCAGGAAAGGGCACAGCGGTGCAAGAAACCATCACGTAAGTGTCACCAGGAACCCTTCACTGCCACTCACCTAATGGTTTTATCTTCAGAGGTCTGCAGTATGTATGGTTCTCTGGGGACCCAGCATAGGTGAGTGACCTAGAAAAGGCAACATTTCAAAACATGTCCCTGTCGAGTCATTCTTCTGCTATAATTCTTGTAATCTGTGCTAAATGGTATCTCTGAACCTCTTCTCAGGAATTCTGAAATGGCAAATCAGACTTAGAGGAATTCAATGTTTTGCAGATACCAGTGAGTCGGGCTATCCCTGCCTCTCCTGGTTATCACAGCAATGTAATATTCCACCAAACATTTGTGCACCAAATGCCAGGTGTGGGGGCACAGCCTGAGAGCACCTGTACCTCAGCTAGCAATGGAGACCCACCGGTGCTTGGCAGCCGCCAGGAAGACAGCCCTAGAGCTAAGGTGGGACCACAGAAGCTCTGATCCAACACCTCACAGGACTTAAAAGAGTGACAGTGGTCATCCCTTCCCCTGCAGCCCCTGCTGGACAGGCATGAGACAGTTCTCAAACCAGGGTAAGAGGATTTTCTTTTCCAGCACAGCCACCTCCACAAATATGGAAAGTCTGGGCAAGCACATCCTCCCATCGACAGTTGCATTCAAAATTAGAAAAGACGAAGCCACGTACAGTGGTCCATGCTTGAAATACCAACACTTGGAAGGCTGAGGCAGGAGGACCATGAGTACCTGGCCTGCGTTGGTTACACAGAGGGTTTAAGAGCAGCTTAGACTGCATAGAGATGAGGACCCCCCCCCACAAAAAAAAGGCAGGCATGGCACTGTATAGTGCATCCCTGGAGGCTGAGGCAGGAGGACTTCAAATTCCAACCCAGCTAGAACAACTTAGCAAGACATTGTCTCAAAAGTGAAAAAAAATAAAAACAGCTGGGGATGTAGCTCAATGGGGAAGCCCTAAGTAAGGAAACAATAAGAAAAAACTAGAAAAGACGCTTTATGACTGAAATTTGACAACCACTGAAGGAATATCTGCTATGTGTCAGGCACAATGACAATGATAGTTGTTTCACATACATGTATTATCTAAATTAATTAGAAGGCTATTAGATAGTGATATGATCCTTCCCATCTTATAAAGGAAGACATAGACTCTAAGAGCTTCCATAACTTGGTATAGCACAGCTAATGAGTGATAGATTCACGTTTTGCAGGCAGGATAAGGATGTAACTCAGTGGCAGAGAGCTGACCTAGCATGTACAAGGCCCTGAAATTGATCCCCAGCACCACAAAAACAAGCTCACCCAACCACAGCATCTGAAGCAACCTACAACTGACCTAAAAGACCATGTGATTGATTGATTGATTTCTGGTACCAGGAATCAAACTCAGGACCTTGCACTTGCCAGGCAGGCACTTGTGCCCACTGAGCTATATCCCCGGTCATGGCCATGTGATTTATGTACCAGTCTACTACCAGAAAACAACTGGCCTGCACAACCAGAGTAACTCACATTAAGCCAAAGGTGACGCTTATTTCTCTGCATGATGCTTCATGTACAGAGGCGAGAGCAGCCAGCCACCTTCTATTACACATAATACACATAAGCTGTGAGCTCCTGGAAGACAGGAACTATGCCTGGGTCACTAACCCTGCTCCAGCAGTGTCTGGCCCACAGAAGAAAAAATATATTTGAAAGAGTTAATGATACCATTTTAGATCCCACTATAAACCAGACGAATCATTCTCTAGAGCCTAAGAATCAAGAGATCAGCTAAGACAATAAACCAAGAGGCCAGGGCTCACAGAAAGCTAGTGGTGGGGGGTAGGGAGCAGGGAGACAATTGAGACTTGGGGCTCTGAGGCCTGGCTGTGTCTCCTGATTCCTGCCCCCGTGCTGAGAATGGAACCTAGGGCCTCCCTCATGCTACTATAATAAGCACGCGCTCTACCACCAAGCCGAGCCCAGCCGCTTCCCTTGCCCCCTGCTCCCTTCTGCTGCCCTGTTCTGTACCAAGTCTGAACTCGTACCAGGTTCCTGGAGACACAGGCTTTCTGCATACACTGTCCTGTCCCCACGTCCCACAGGAGCAGGGTGTTGTCCCGAGAGCCGGTGCACAGCTGCGACGCGTCTTTGGAAACAATGGCGAGAAGCCAGGCCGTGAGAAGGGACTTGCACGGGGTCTGGGAAGGTGCACGGGTGCTGGTGTCGGGAAGCGATCCGCTTCACTTTACCTGGGCTCACAGCCAACCCGGTGACCACCATGTCGTGGCCAGCCAGCCGCTGCCTGGGCTGGGGGCAGCCGCGCAGGTCCCACATCATGACCATCCTGTCTCGAGAGGCGCTGAAGAACTGGCTTGATCTGGGGACGCAGGCCAGCTGCTCGGGAAGGGAAAAAAAACAGAAATAGCTCTGGAACACTGGCTGGACTGGCCTTTAAAATGGGAAGGAGATGAGTTTGGAATGACGCCCCCACCGCATAAGCCTGCGTGCCTGTGATGTTGGGGACTGAACCCAGGGCTGCATGCTATGTGTTCAACCACCGAGCTACACTGCCAGCCCTTTTAAATTTTTATACTGAGACAGGGTCTTGCTAAGTTGCCCAGAAGAGGGGTTGAAGGGAGAGAATGGGAGATAAAGAAGCAAGCTATACCTCGTACAGTGCAATTCCATATGACCCATGCTATCACCGTGTGTATCTAACAGGTACCATTAAAATTTTAAAAAATAAAATGAACTCAAAATAAAAAAAAATATAATAAATTGCCCAGGCTCGCCTTGAACTTGCTGTATTGCTCTGCCATTTTAAAGAGTACGGCCTGAATTTGAAATCTGCGGCCGGAAGCACAGCCAGGCTGAATTTCCACCGCTCGGAACTGCGCTCCTCTCTCCTCCCTCCCACCCTGCACGGCAAGGCTGGAAACCCTCATCTCCTCCAGGAGCCTCCTCAGACCAGCTTCCCTCTCAGCTCCCCGCAGGACTTCTCTGTGTGACCCTGCGACACCTGGTCCTCCGCACGCCTGGGTGTCACCAGCTCTCCCGCATACAGTCCTGTCTCATTAAGCAGTTTATGCCGTCCGTCTCCTACTCCATGTTGTCGTGGCACTCACTTTGTCTTGAAAGAGGCCTTTCTATATTTATTTTGAATTACATAAAGATCCGTTTATTTCTACCTTCCCAGGGGATCCTGCAGGGATGTTTGCGAGCTCCTCTGGTCCACTAAGGAGATCATACCCTTCTCTTTCGACCAATTAATGGAGAATCACTATCAATGCCCTAATTTATCAGTTCTCTAATAGCAAACCATTGCTGCATTCTTGGACTAAAACTCAGCCATGGTAAGCTATTCTTTTTTTTTTTTTTCTGGTACCGGGAATCAAACTCATGACCTTGTGCTTGCCAGGCAGGCACTGTGCTGCTGAGCTAAATCCCTAGCCCCGGTAAGCTATTCTTTTAGGAAAAAATTAGATTCTATTTGCTAATACTTGGTTTTTAAGGTTTTTGCGTGACTATTTGTAGCGGTTGGCAAGTAATGTATCCAATATTCATTTTCGCATTCTTACTTAACAATAAAACTTCTACATTGTCAGGTACGGCAATGTGCTCAGCTATAAATTCAGATTTCACAACTGCGTAGAAGACAGGCGTAAGCAATGATGTATAAGTGGAATGGAATGTCTGGGAAACTCTTTATAAGGGGCTAGCAGGTACCTTTTGCTCTTGCCCTTTCTTCCCTGCTGCTGCCTTGAGAGCAAATGTAATGACTGGAGCTGCAGCAGCCATCTTGTGAATGGGAGGTAACTCTGAAGAAGGAAACTAAACTCCAGTGATGGTAGACAGGAACTGCAGAAGGGGCAGGTGTGGTGACATGCACAGTGCCAACCACTCTGGAGACTGAGGCAAGGGAATCCTGCGTTTAAGAGCAACCCAGGCAACATAAGTAACACACCAAGATACTGTCAAAAAAAGAAAGAGAAAGGAGAAAGAAAGGGGAGGGGAAGAGAAGGCAGGGAAGGGGAAGGGAAGGAAGGGGAGGGAAAGAAAGGGGAGGGGAAGGGAAGGAAAAGAAATGTACGTAGGAGTCTGGCTCCCTGAGGACCATGAAGCCCCACACGAACCTCTGACTGTGTACTTGGGCTTTCTGTAACCTGAAGCCCTACCTAACTCCACTAAGCTCAGGAGCCCACTGGTGTGCAGCTCCTGTGCGTGCTTTGTCAGGTTCTGCTACTCATGTTATACTGGCTTTACAGGAAGAATTAAGAAATAGTCCCTTTTCTCTATGCCTTAAGAGAGTTTCTATTGTAGCAAATCTATTATTTTTTTGTGAATCTGAACGAATTCTTTTGACTCCATCAAGGTCTAATACTCTTATGGCAGGGTGATTCTGCTGTACTCTTTTGTGTTTTGTTTTGTTTTGTTTTGTTTTTTTGGTTTTTCTCCGGTACCAGGAACCGAACTCACGACCTTGCGCTTGCCAAGCAGGCGCTTTGCTGCTGAGCTAAATCCCCAGCCCCTCTGCTGTACTCTTGATCAATTTAAAGTGACTCTCTGTTCCATATAATGCCTTATTTTGTTTTTTGAGATGGGGGTCTCCGTGTATTGCCCAGGCTGGCCTTGAACTCATGATCCTCCTGCCTCAGCCTCCTGAATGGATGGGATTATAAGTGTGCATCTGTGCTTGGCCACTGGATGCTTCTCACTTTTCACTTCTGACCTCACAACTCCTGACTTTGTTTGGTTTGCATTCTCCTGATATATCCTTGCTTGCTTTTTTCTAATATCTGTTCTAATATCTTCCATGTTTTTTAAAAACTGTGGTAATGTACACACAACAGGAAAGTTATCATTTTTTATTTATTAATTTAGTTTTTGGAGACAGGGTCTCGCTGTAGTTCAGACTGGTCTTGAACTCACTACTAGCTGAGCCTGGCCTTGAACTCATGGTGACACTCCTGCCTCAGCCTCCCAAGGGCTGAGATTATAGGCATGTGCCACCATTTTTTCATTATCCCAAACTGAAACTTTATAACACTCTCCCCGCCCCGCACTTATTAGTAACCAGTATTCCACTGTTTATTTGAATTTGACTATTTATAGACCTCACATAAATGGAATCACAGTACTTGTCCTTTCTGTCTGGTTTCTTTCACTAAGCACAATATTTTCAAGGTTGTAACATGTATCGGAACTCCATTCTTTTTCTTAAGGCTGAATAATATTCCACTATGTGTCTATTACCACACTTAGTTTATCCAGGCAGCTGTCAATGGGTATGCAGTTGTTTCCACTTTGGAATGCTTTGCTCTGCTTTTCCTGAAGAGGGGCTTTGCCACATCAAATAAAGCTTTCTTATTTAAGTATCAATCACTCAATATCAAGAGCTATTAGAAATTCCTTTATTCTATTCCAAATTCCCTGCATAATAATCACCGACAATTACCTTGGTAATTTCACGTTCATGGCCTTTGAATCTTTTCACCACATTTCCAGTTTTCCAGTTATAGGCAACAACTGTCTGCAGAGAGTCGTTAGAAGAGGTTAGTTCAATCACTCCATTTCCACTTGGCTGACACTACCTTTACTTCATTCCCACCCCATCTTTCCCTGGTAACTAACTCCCTCTCTGGCAAGGGGCTCGCTTCACATTTCCCTACTTTGAATGTCCCTTTCCTCTTATCATCCCTCCGTCTGTCCCGAGACACTGGCCACTCCTCTAAACTATGCTCATGGGTCTGGATAACATTCCCAAGGAAAATGGATTCTACTTGAGGTTCTAGCATAGTCTGTGAAGGAGAGTTCTGCATGGGATTATTTTGTCCCTATGATGTATTTATTTTCATTTTTTAAAAATTTACCATCTCAATCATTTTTAAGTCTATGGTCAACTACTGTTAAATATAGACATTATTGTGAAAAAGATTGCATTTTTGGTTTAAAAAAACTCACCCATAATCTCAAATACCAAAGAGACTCATTTGTAACATTTTCTTTCTTCTCCTTTTGCAGGTATATACTTTCATGTTTTACTGTAAGCAATTCTAAGAGGGATTGTGAACACTTTTTCTGGCTCAGTGTCAATGGTTTATTGCTAGAGAGTAAGCAAAGAGCATGTACTATAGTGGACCCAGCCCCTCTCACTTGACCCAGTTAGAAACCAGCTTTTGTTTTTTTTTTGTTTTTTTTTTGTTGTTTGTTTGTTTGTTTTCTTCCAGTACCAGGAATCGAACTCACGACCTTGCGCTTGCCAGGCAGGCGCTTTGCCACTGAGCTAAATCCCCAGCCCCGAAACCAGCTTTCTAATCTGCAAAGTGGAAAAGATAATCCTTGCCCTATCTACTCCTCACAGGTGTAAGGGAGACTCGTAAAATTTCTCATATCTAAGATGATACAGATTTTAAGACACAATGCTGTCAATTAAGTTATGACACTTAGTTGCATCCTGATCTCAGGGGTGTTAAAATTTGAAAATAGGGGCATCTTAGAACCAGGGAAATGTAGTACGCAAATGAATTTGAAGATTCTAAAAGGCTACTGAAAAAGAGAAGCGTTATTAATGTCATTCAGTACAGAAAGTCAGCGTTGTTGCTGTCAGTAGCCTGGCAGTGAGTGCTCTGACAGAGTCTACCGGAAGGAGAGAAGGCAGTCAGATTCAGAGTGACAGTGGGAGCAAAGACAAGAACAAACGGGGTAGGAATCATGATGCGGCACAGTAGTGTAGATTTCAGCAAAAGAGAGGCACAAAGGAAGCTACTAGAAAATTCCTTTTGCTGACTCCTGCTTCTGTCTGTAGCAACAAAAACAGGTTGGTTGGAATAATACTTCCCATTTATAGAAAGCATAGAGGACGGATGGCCTAGGGCTAGGGATCTTACCTGTGTTCTCTCATTTAATCTATGCAACTATCCTGTGAGGCTGGATTTATCATCTCCACTTAACATGAAAGCTGAAACTCAGAACATTTAAACACTTGCGTAAAGTAACAGGAAGTGGCAGAGCATGGATTTAAACCCAGCCCTCCTAACTTTAAATCCATTTTGTGGGCTGGCTGGGGATGTAGCTCAGCGATAGAGCACCTGCCTAGCATGCTTGAGGCCCAGGTTAGATCTCCAACGCTGGGGAACAAAAGCTTACACTGTTACACTAATCAGTCCTGCTCCTGCCAGAAATGCAAGCCCGGATTTCCCCTTCAAAACAGCTTTCCTAGCCAGGCATGGTGGTGCGCGCCTGTAATCCCAGCACTCGGGAGGCTGAGGCAGGAGGATTGTTGCAAGTTCAAGACCAGCCTGGGCTACAAAGTGAGCTCAAGGCCAGCCTGAACTGCATAGTGAGACTCTCTCTCAAAAAGGTCAAAAAAAAAAAAATCTTTCCTGTAATGAGGTGGATTCTTGGGAAATACTGCAAACCTCACCTTATCTTTTCCTCCAGAGACACAAAGTTCTGAGTTCAGAGCAGCAACGACGAAAACAGAATCCACATGAGCGGGGCTATACTCTTGGAAAGTCTTGGTTTGGATTCTCTCTTCTATAAGTCCGTCAGGCCTGCCAAAGAAGCATGGACAATGAGAAGCCCAAAGCCTCGGACAGGACAGGAGAGCCAGGGGAAGAGGAATGTGGGTGACAGCAGCGAGTCAGGCCAGGCTGAGGGGCAACAGGAAAAGGACAAACGAGACCGTCTACCATTGCCTGAAATGGTATTGGTTATTCTGAAAATGCTCAGGATGCCTGCGGGATTGAAGAATGATAAAGGGGGACCCTGAAGCCAGGAGTCTTTGCTGACCCTGTGACTGATTCCCAAGATGCAGGGCCCTCCAGGTATGGGTGCAGATATCAACTACTAAGATGGGTCTTATGTAAAAGAAAGCAGACCAAACTGTTGGGAGAAAAGCATCAACACTTGCTCTGGACCTTCCCTTCCTTTCATAGGGAGCTGTAACAGGGCATGATGCTTTTGGAGATCCCAATGAAAGACCCCGCAGTACCTGTATTTGTAAGTGCTGTGTTTGAGTTTGCTTTGCAGTTTCCCCATCACAGCACAGAAGCGATGAGAAATCTTCTGGAGAGCTCCTTCCCATAGGCCATGGAGTAGCAGCATCCCTTGCAGTTGCTGGAAGTTGTGTTCCCTATTTAGCAAAAAGACAAATGCACACAGTGAATTTTGCTAGGCACAACAACAAATTGTGGTTATGTCAGACCATTTTTTTGGGCTAATTTTATGTATTTGCTTTTCCTCTTTTCCCTGCTTTACTGTTATGGTCTTGGGATGGCAGCTGCCAATAAAGCAATAGCAGATTAATAAAAGCCAGGTGTGGTATGCACGCCTATAAGCCCAAAACTCAGGAGGCTGAGGCAGGAGAATCGTCACAAGTTTGAGGCCAGCTTGGACTACATAGTGAAGCTGTGTCTCAAAAAAACCCAAAATAAATACATAAATAAGAATTATGAGCCAGGTGTGGTGGCGCACGCCTGTAATCCCAGCACTCGAGACCCTGAGGGAGGAGGATTGTTGCAAGTTCAAGACCAGCCTGGGCTACAAAGTGAGCTCAAGGCCAGTCAGAACTGCACAGTGAGACTCTGTCTCAAAAAGACCAAAAAAAAGAAAAAGAGAAAAATAAGTTTAAATTGGTTTAAATGTTACACAAAGTACACATATGTTGAAATATTATATGGTACCCCATTAATATGTACAGGTTTTGTTTTCATGTATTAATTAAAAATAAATTTTTGAAAAGGTAAAAGTAGTACTAAGAAATTCCTCAATAAGTTAAATACAGAATTACTCTAAGATCTAGCCACTTTACTCCTGGGGATATAGCAAAAAACACTGGAAACAGCTGCCCAAACACAGTTTGGCATGTAAGTGTTCATAAAGACATGGTTTGTAATAGTCAAAGGTGCAAAGAACCCTCATCCATGGATGGCTACCATAGGGGTGAAGCTTGGAAGTTTCATGCTATAAGCTCCAAGACAGATGTGGCGGCGCACACCTGTGACCCCAGCACTCTGTGAAGATGAGGCAGGAGGACTGCAAGTCTGAGCCCTGCTGGGGCAACTTAGGGAGAGCCTGTGTCAAAGTGAAAACTGAAAAGCGCTGGGATGCAGTTCAGTGTGAAAGCCTTGGGTTCACTCCCCAGGACCACACATGAAAAAGCCAGATACAAAAGGCTACATAATGTATAACTCCACTTATAGGAACTATATAGCGTACACAGTTCGCAAACCTATAGTGACAGGAAACAGCAACTGCCAACGGCAAAGGTGTGGTGAAGAGAGAGGGAGCATTTTGCTACTTAACAGGCAGAGTTCCCTTTTGGGGTGATGAAAATGTTGTGGAACTAGGTAGTGGTGACGACTGCACAACATTGTGTACTAAATGTCAGCAGTGGTACATTTTATGGTCTATCTACTCTAGCACAATAAAATAAATACTAAGAGCACATAATTAAAAATAAAAAATAAACTACATTAGTGAAGCTTCTTACAAGAGAGGAAGATTAGTTATTCCAAAGCATTATGACCTTCCTTGCTTGCTGTATTAAGTAATTATATTGTGGCACTTCTCTAAGTCAGCACATCACCATCATGAGGTTATTCTGTAATAAGAATGAAATGCTAGAGACAATGACACTAAATGATACAATAAGGGTAATGACCTAGACCAGCAGTTCTCAAAGTATGACCTACAGATTAGGGGGGACTCCTGAGTCTTCAGGGAGTCCTTGAGTTCCTCCCTTTTCCAACTGCATCTCTGTGGGAGGCCTGATTTCTCAACCTCTCAACCTAACTAGATAATGCAACAGGTTAAAAGCAGAAGCTGATATGAGAATCTTGCTGTCCTCTGTTTAGGCCAAACATGCAAGAATTTAGAAAAATATAATACAATTTTTTCCAACTAATTTGTTTATAAAGTTTATTTATCATACAATTATATTATGTATTTTCAGGTGCAATAGGTTTAATACTGTAGGTTTTCCAATAGGTAAATATTTTTAAATTTCTCAGTTTTAATGCCAATAGAAGGTGGCAAAACAGGTATCTGAATCCAATCTATAACCTGCATAAACAGAAGCACTGTGGAGGCTTCAATGACTTTTAAAAAATAAAAAGGAGTCCTGAGGGCAAAAAAAATTGAGAACCACTGACCTAGAAGTTAAAATCATGTTAATACTAGATAATATATATTAGAATCAAAAAAATTATTTCCCAGATTGACTTACATTGTCCCCATCGATAACAAGACTAGAACTAAAAAGAAAGAGAACAAATTACACAATCAAAGATGCCCATCCATTCATTCTTTGAGGAAACACTTCCTAAGTACCTAATAAACACCTAATCTGTTCATGCCCTATACCAGTTGCTGGCGAAAAAGAGAGACACCTGAAAATACTGGCCAGCATGATCATTTGCTGACACTGAAGGAATCTGACAGGGCCCAATCTCAGCCACTTCAGGTCCGAAGTCCTCTACAGCTATCTATTCCCTAAGATGCTAGAGGGCTGAGCGAAGTAAACGGGGCAGTGAGAGTGCCTAGTTCCCATTTCTTCTGGGGTTCCTCATAAAGTTCTAAAAGATGAGCTGCTTATGGACTGAACAAACCTAATTCTAGGAAGAACTGTCTACAGGGAGAACAGCAGCTAAAACTAGCCATGTAAGTACTCTCATTCATATCACGATCAGTAAAAAAACTTTCCAGAAGAATTTTGAGGAGTTATCAGAACTGACTTCCTGACAGTAGTAGCTAAGTAGTACAGAAGCACAAGGCAGGGGCAAAAACACTGGTTGTAGAGTTGAGTTTGGACTCACGTCTCAGCTCTGCCTCATCTCACCGTGTGTTCCTGAATGGCTCTAGTCTACACTTTGGGTCTCATCCTCCCCAGTTACTCAGTAGGCCTGAGTCAGGAAGACCACAAGTTTGAGGCCAGAATGGGCAACTTAATGAGACCCTGTCTTAAAATAAACAGGGTTGAAGATGTAGCTCAGCGGCAGAGTACTCGCCTAGCATGTGTGAGGCCTGGGTTCATCCCTAGTACTAAAAAATAACTAGGACATGAGATCCTAAGTGACTTTTAGTAGATTATATGCTCCATAAGGAAACGGACTTCCATTATTTATTACTGTACCCCAAGTGGCTTGCACAGTACAACAGAAATATTTGTGGTAAAGTAAAAATCCCAATTCAGACATTCTAAGATTCTCCCATAACAGGTCATAAGATGTGCTAAAAGAAAAAGTTTCAGGGTACTTTCAAAATACTTGGGATGTTGTGTTTATAGAGAGATAGAGTGTAAGGCTTCCTATCTGCCAACGTAACCCATTTTTCAACCCTGCCATCAAACTATAAAAACAGATGCTATCCATAGATCTAGGTCATTGGAAATTGCAGGTGCTATAAATGGACTGGCTGTGCTTAAAACTGATTGGATTCTTAGCTGGCATCGTCCGAGAGCTATGCTTCCCAAGTAAAGAGTATTAATGGCAAAAGGTAACATAGAATTACTTACCCTCAAACCAACAGGATCTCCTTGGTGAGTTGCTGTATTCAGTGATTTGCAATGTTTATCCTTTGAAAAATAGTTCAGGCTGCCACTTTCTAATCTCTGTAATTAGTGAAAAGACGCTCAAGTTAATCTCTTCTCTGTCTAAGCATATGTTTGCACTGAAAAGAGATTTACCAGGTAAATAAGGACTCTCTTTAATTATAAAGATTGTTAAGTATAGTTTTCCTTTACAAAAAAAAGTTTACAAAATTCCAAACATCTATAATTCAACAGTTAGAGAAAGTGTACTATAATGTTACACATCTTTTTAAATATGCAAAATATATTTAATTTCATCATTAAACATTTTATTTCACTTATGTGAGTAAAAAATCTTCAGAATTTACTGCTTACTTCAGAGTTTACTGATTTTGAGAAAAAGACAATTTCCTTATTTATTTTAGTGTGGTACTGCGGAGTGAACCTAGCACTGATGGCGAACCTTTTAGAGCTTTCAATGATAAACAGCCCGCTGCGGGGCACGTGCCAAAGGTTTGACACCGCTGATAGGGGCTTCACTCTGACCTACATCCCAACCCTTTTTATTTATTCATTTATTTTTATTTTGACATAGTTCTACCTAAGTCCCTAAGTCGGAACTCTCAAGGTTGGGGATAACCTGTCTGCAGTTTTTCCTTTCTGGCTCTTCAGATCACACATGCTCCCTGGCTATTACGCAAACAGCTAAAGCTCATGTTTGATGTTTCTGTGAGGGAGGAGGATTTTCCCAAGGTGGAAACCTAGGGCCACCCAACCCAACGCTGACCCTCTGAAACCCCCTCGCCGCTTCGGGCAGGTGGTTGGCTGCGGCCAGGGGAGCGCGACCGATCCCACCTCTCCGCAGCACCCCTTTCTACCATCTGAGGTTCCATACCCACCGGTGGAGTGGCGGGTCTAGCAATGAGGCCCACCGGGACGCGGAGCAGGAGGGCAACCGCAGCCTCCACTGCTTCCCGCGCCTCGGCCCCTAGCAACGGGCCGCGCGTTGCTAGGGCAGGTGTCGTGGAGAAAAACCTCCGTGCGTCCTTGGCAGCCGCCAACCTTAAGTTCCGCTTGCCAGAGGTCTTCCGGAAAACAATGGAGAGCTCGCTATGTGGCTTTCTTAGTGTAACAGTGTATGGATAAGGTCCAGAGAAGACGAATGTACCCAAGACCCTGCCTGAAAAATCTCTATAATCCAAGGAAAACAGTGTGTCTCATAGTCATGGAGAAAGTGCTTGGTAAATGTCATCTTTTAATTATTATTCTCCTAGAAAAGGGGATCCTGATCCAGCCAGCCAGAGAACCCTCCTTTGGACACTTCTCCAGTACCCTACTTCTTTCATCAAACCATAACAACCCAGCACAACAGCAAGGAGACCCCTCAGCACCTTTCTGAGATCCAAATGTAAGAATTTCCAAAACTAACAGCAGATACAAGACAAAGTTTTTACAGCTACAGACACATTGCTTCCAGACTAAAATCTGTTCATTTCTGCATTCCTGATGCACAGCATTGGTGCTCTTGAATGTTTGCTAAATCGATGAATGAGTGATCGAGTGAATGAATAAAGGAGATCCCAACCAGTATTTCTTTTGCACCCTAGTATGTGGCCCTTCCAGGGGCAGGTCTCCCAAACTGCCATAAATGAAGATATGTGGAGTTTCTGAAAGTTGGGTGCCTGAGCAGAATGAGGGTGGTCAGAGAAGTCTGCCTTTGCAGAGTGTCAGTGCTGGCCACTGGATCTTATTCCACCCCAGGGAAGGTTCTGTAAACCATTCCTTGTTGAGACTTCCTCCTTGATGATGCATTCATTTTATTCTGAGTTAGTGGCCTGTTGTGGGGAGATATATTTCCTGGCAGGAGCTGAGCTCTACTCCTATGCCACTTGCAGCACTGTTATTAGTTCAGAGCTAAGGGCTCTCTTTACAAATTTATCCCTCTTTCCTATAATTAGGATAGACCTATTGCTCTGTGCTGGGACACTGGGCTAGGCTCAGTATAGCTACAGGCTGATGTACTAGATTCCTACCCTGAACATGCTCCTGCTGTGGGATGGAGCCCCCTTGCGCGATGCCTTAGGCTTGTGGCATCTGCTACTTCCAAACTAGTGTCTGTAGCCAGGCCACTTTCTGAGCCATACTTGTATATCCACCTGTCTCCACCTGGCTGTCTAAAAGACACCTCTCTCTTGACGTGACTCACACTGAAAACATCATCTTTCTCCTAAACCTGTTCCTCCTCTTTGTTCTTTACGTGCTGAGCACTGCCATTTGTCAATCAGACAAATCAAGGAGGAACACTTGTAGCTTCTGTTCTTCCTTGTTTGAGAACAATCCCCAAGATTCCTCAACCTGACCTCCTCAATATCCTAAAAATAAAAATCTGCCCTCTCTCTATCACCACCACGGATCAGGCCAAGATCATCCAAAGTGTGATAGATTGAAAATGATTGCAGATTGCTCGCAGCTTCTATCAAAGCTGGCCTTGTAACTTGTTTTGACCTGTAGGATGTAGTAGAAATGACACTGTGGATCTTCTGAGTTTAAGCCTCTAAAGGGCTTGCAATTTCTGTTCTTGTCTTCTCGGACCACTACCACCATGGGAGGAGGACCAGACTAGCTGTATGAGAGATGCAGTCCATCCAATAGGTAGCACCAAATGTCAGACATATGAGTGAGACATCATCAATCACTGTTATTATTATTAATAGTAATGAGGATTGAACCCAGGGCCTTTGCACTGAGTTACATCCCCAGCCCTTCTTAATTTTTTTCTTTACTTTGGGACAGGGTTTTGTTAAGTCAATAAATTGTCCAGGATGGCCATGAACTTGCAATCTCTCTGCCTCAGCCTGCCAGAGTGCTGAAATTACAGGTATGTACTAGTGTACCTGGTATGAGTGAGACTGTTTAGACTACCCAGCCCTAGCTGAGCCATCAGATGACTGTAGCTCAATGAGCAGCCATCAGAAGAACAGCCCAGCTGAGATTAGCCCTATTTGCTAATCCCCAAAATTCTGTTAATAATTCAAACTGGGTGTGGTAGTGCACGCCTGTAATCTCAGCAATCGGGGAGGCTGAGGCGGGAAGATCCTTGCGAGTTTGAGACCAGCCTGGGCTACAAAGTGAGCTCAAGTCCAGCCTGAGCTGCATAGTGAGACCCTGTCTCAAAAAGACAAAAAAAAAAAAAATTCAAATAAACAATTGTCACTGTAAGCCATTAAGCTTAAAATTGTTATACATAATTGTTGGTGACCAGTACAAAGTGGCTCTGAGCTGGATTTAATATTAACCAATTGGCTTTCTGTGTTTACTTGTGAGTTATTTGAAGCTTAGGCACCTTGTCTAAAGGTAGGCAGTAGACTCACAGTAAGTAAACCTCTGTGAGCCCCTGGTCATCCTGAGGCCTGTATTGGCCTGTGAAGATGTGACTCCTCAAAGGACAAGATAAGGCCACAGCTGAGGACGTTTGGCTTCAACCCCAATTAACTACAAGGAAACTGTAGCTGCAGGCTCCACACTCCTACAATAAATACCAACCTAAAGATAAGGTAGTTCTCCTGATTGACATAATTTACTACTTGGCAACATTCTCCCAAGGTCCTGTGAGATTCCCGTGTTTTCTTGAGTAGCCTCCTTCTTTGTTTGAAAACCAACTAAGTACAGGCTGCCCAGAGAAGTCTTTGGCTAAATTCAAAGAATATCAAAACTGTAAGACAGTTAGTCCCTCCTGGAGCCCTGAAATCATTCAGTTTTCTCATTTATTTCAGCCTTCACCATCCCCTCGCTTGGGAGACTGTGGGCCTGATCAGCCTGCAATAACTAAAGGTTATTGAACCCGATATATAATAGATAACTGATATTTGAGGAACATCTAAATTCCTTCTATAAGATTTAGTATATATCTTTTTACCCTCATCTTCCACCTCTGCCACCCGCACTGTGTGCTTCAGTGCCTTAAACTACTTTCAGTTTCCCAGTTTGTTGTGCTAGCTGTTACCTTTAGATCCTTGCACGTGGTGCTCTACTGAGATCCTCTCCCTTGTGGATCTTTTTCTGTCTGGCCCTTTATCCTTAGCCTCTCCCTCTCTCCTCTCAAGCCTTCCTAACCATTCCCCTCCTGCTGTGGACTGGGTTAGCTCTCCTGCCTCTGCGCTTTCAAAGCCTGCCCACTTCTCCAACATACTGTGATTGTTCATTTCCTTTTTCTTTTTTGCTGTACTAGGGGTTGAACCCACGGTCCTGTGAATGCTAGATAAGTACTCTGTTCAGCGAACTACATCCCCTGTCCTTTTTATTTGTTTCTTGATTTTGAGACAGGTTCTCACCTACTTTCTCAGGCTGGCCTCGAATTTGTGACCCTCCTGCCCGAGCCTCCTGAGTAGCTAAGGTTACAAGCATGTGCCACAGAGCCAGTTGATTTTTTCATTTCTTGTCTCACTCAACTGTGAGCTCCATGACAGTCATTAAGTCTCATTTATGCTTATATGGATGGTGCCTAACACAGGGTCTAGCAGAGCTGTTGCAATAGAAGTTCCTACCATGTTGGAAATGTCCTATTTCTGCATTGAGCAGTCCCATACCAGTACACTGCAGCATTTCTTCTTATTTGTTTATTTGTTTGTTTTTTAAGACAGGGTCTCAGGCTGGCCTTGAACTGAGTACATAGCCCAAATTGGCCTTGAACTCGCAGTGATCCTCCTGCCTCAGCCTCGAGGGGCCTGGGATTACAGGTGTGCGCCACCACCCCTGGCTCACCATAGCATTTCTGCACTGACCAGTCCCAGAGCAACTAGCTCCATGTAGCCACTGAGCACTTGGAGTATGGCTAGTGCAACTGAATTTTAAATGTTACTCATTTTAATTAAGATTAAATTTAAATAGCCTCATGCCCGTAATCCCAACAATCAGGAGGCTGAGGCAGGAGGATTATTGCAAATTCCAGACCAGCCTGGTCTACAAAGTGAGCTCAAGGCCAGCTTGAACTGCATGAGACCCTGTTTCCAAAGGAAAAGAAAAAGAAAAGGCTAAATTTAAATAGCCTCATGGGGCTACTGCAAGTTTAGCACATAGTAGGGACTCACTGAATTTTGTTTTGTTTGGCAGTGCTGGGGATCAAAGCAAGGGTCTCACACATGCTAGGCAAGCACTTTATCACTGAGCCACATCCCCAGTTTCTTACTGAATATTTTTGAATAAAGAATGAAAAGGGAAAACAGTCATGGAAAGACAACTAGCCTACAAAATAGGATGTTAGGGTATAAGCAACATAAAGAGACCCCTTACTGCTTAAGCCTTCAGCCTAACACTACCAGTGCCTCCAGCTCAGTCTTATGTAAATATAACCTTGCCTCTGGGTTCTTCACTACCTGAGTTGGCTGTTTTTTCCTGGACTTGCCCTGTGTTAGGATGTCCTGCCTGTGAAGTGAGCTGGTCCCAAAGCCCTCTGGAGACAAGATCTGGGCACCTCTGGTTTGGTCTGACCTGAGTAGAGAGCGCTGTCTCTCCAGGGGCCTGGGCTCCATCACATGGGACCCGTGTGGTCTGAGTTTGTCTGCACTGGTAGGCTGCCGAGCCCTCTTAAGGTGATGGTTGAAGCTGATTTTGCAGTGAAAATGTCACAGAAGGACAAGAAGCCCCACAGTGTTGACACTCCTGGAAACTGGACAAACCCCAGTCAGGTGACTACTAGCACTGACACTAGACATGTTGTAAAAGGTCTGAGGAGGACTGGAAAATGGGCACAGGGCCAGGCAGGGTGGGATGGGCCAGGGCCCCACAGAGTAAGCAGACAAGCTGGGTCTACCATGGAGACCTGAGCGAAGGACAGTTCTTTCCAGAAGCCTTTCCAGACATTCACTAAAAATACTTTAAGACCAGGTGCAGTGCCCCACACCTGTAATCCCAGCTACTCAGGAGGCTGAGGCAGGAGGACTGCAAGTTTAAAGCCAGCCTGGGCAACTTAGCCAGACCCTGTCTCAAAATAAAATTAAA